AGCCAAAGAGGAGGAGGTGTGTGTTGGGGAAACCTCTGATCCAGTATGACACAGGAGATAGATACCCACCATGGGAGGATGCCAACAAAAAACAGCCTTTGTTTAGCAACAAGCTGTTTTTTGAGCTGGGTGAGGCTAACAATAATCAGATCCTGTGAGGTGGGATAATGCTTTTTTTATCTTGCCAATTTCCTCCTTTACAGAACTGGCTCAAGTGTAAAAGATGTACAAACGAGTCATTCAGTGTCATTCCACCCTAATGTGCCCCAAAGGAATCTCTTAAAAAGAACCTGTTACCTGGCAGTAGGAGTGGGTTGTAGCAAAAGCTACAAATTATTTCAAGTTCCTGTATTTAAGATTTCTTTCTATCACATTAAAAATACTTTAATACTCAGTTACTCACCTCTTTTAACATGGCTTTAAATAAAGATCTCCCTGTTCTTACAGCTCCAGCTTTCTTTGACGGCCCATAGCGCATCTCATTCCTCTTGCTCATGGTGTCTGCTTTCAGCCTGGGGGCCTCTCCCTCCATGACAAACACTAGTTTAATTCCCATTGATGTAAAGAAAGAGAACCGAAAAAACAGGTTTCTGCAATAAAGCAAAGTGTTTCATAAGCTGAACTATTTGTAAGACTGATTTCTTCAGACCTTTTCCGTATATCCCTTATGTTTTCGTGACCCTGCCACTGGAAAGATCCTAGCATTGTCTTTACCTCCAGTGATTCTCTCACCCCCAAGCTAAACCAATCTCTGAGCTATATTCCTGTCTTTGGTTGAAATTGTCATACTATGAAATTGTAGCAGCTTTACAAAATTCCCAAGAAAATACCACATAAGGACAGAAAATATCTTTTTTGGGTGTAAAGATGTAGGTGAACTTAAAAGGCTTAATAAAAATATATTCAATATCCAAAATCTGCCTCCAAACACATAATTACATTGATTCTTTTATATCAAATATTAACCCCAAATCTATCAATATAGGTACATATCAGGTGACTGAATGCTGTAGTATTGGAGAGACTTTTAGATACCATTACTATGCCAATTTATTTCATATGCAAACCAGCACCACTGAGGGGTGGAGTTTTACAAGGCTGCAGTAATAAATATTTGGACTACAACAGTAAAATTAACAGCAGTCATATCAAACAACATATGCCTTTACCAGTAATTCCAGTATCAATGTTTCAAAAGGAGTAGATCAAACACATATACCTCTTTGACAGACATGGAGAGACCATTACGCTAGATTTAATTTTGTACAGTTACTACTAGCAAAAAACAGTAAGCTGGTCTTTGGAGGTTAGTTCTATTTTCACAAATGATGTAAAAAAATCAATCCATACAATAACTTACTTGAAAATACAAATTATATTAAAAACAATTTTCAGCTGTCTGAAAACATTTTTTTTAAATGTTCAGAAATCTGTTCAACCCATTGTCTTCCTTTGGAGGTCTGGACTGATGCTTCCATTCCACTGCACACAGATATCCTACCAGACTGATGTAATGACTTCGGTAATGCTGCCAGTTTTACAGTTAATTATCCATTTGGGTTTGTAAGCATAAAACATTTTAAGACATTATTCTCAGAAAGTGCTGAGATTTTTTATCATGCTGATTGTGCTGAACTCAACAGAAGTCACAGGAGTGTGTAACACCGTGTAGTAACTCAGTATTCTACACTGGTAACTAAAAACTGGTAACAACAATCACTGATGATAATTTGTGTATGTTTTCATTATTGTTAGCACTGTTTGCAGAGAACAGTGCTTTGAACTTATAGATGCTTAGAAATTCTCATTCCTTAGATAAGTCAATTAAATTAAAAATATATACATATTCCTCAAGTTTGTTCAAATACCTGAAGAATGATTTAAACATAATTAATGCAACATGGGGGTCTACTTAGAACTAACTTCAAACCCTTTACATATGTAGCATAAGTGATAACTGAATCAAAACACCAGTCATATGAATTTCAGAGCTACTCTTAGAAGTCTATTGAATAAGTAAAATATTTAAATTATACAGCTCCAAGACGTTTGGCTCGAATAATCGATATGGATACCTGAGATGTGGCTTGGTAACTACTCCAACCATCTTTTTAACAGTCTGTGCTTCACAAACCCACAAACTCAAATCAACAGCAAGTGTTTTCCCTCTGAGACTACTCATGTTGACAGGTTGTCTCACAGGCTCAAGGATTTGCCACAGGTAAGTCACTCCCATTGTTTTCACTTCCTTGTTATCAGAAGGTAGATTTTAACTGTGAAGACCAAACAAAATAAAACAGTTTCAGCATGTGACATGAAGTGAAGCATTATGACTGTGAGGTTCAGAAGATAAGTTCTGTCACTGTAAGAACTTACAGTTCTGTCACTGTAAGTTCTACTTTTATGAGGCAAGAACACTTACAACCAAGTCTTCTAAGCGTAGTGACTCTAGTTCACAGATGGTTTATAATAAAATAAACCAAATACCTTCTTTGAACAGAACAATTGTATTTTTAATAAGCTGAACAATAAATCAGACTAGATGACCTACCAGTGTTCAGATATCTGCTTAAGACATGTGAGGAGCTAAGCCACCGTGTGGTCTCTCACATTTAACACCAGAGTCTGTCAGAACACCAAGCCTGCCTTTGGAGGATGCATTCTTTTATACTCTAATTCTGTTTTTAAAGCAAGGCTTTAAAATTCCAGGTTTTTAAACCAAGTTCTCATGTTAAGATTAACTTTCCACAGAAATTAGGTTTCTAATCCATTTCTTTAACTACTACAATGAGTCAACCTCATTTTAGGTGTATGCAGACAGAGTATTGACAGTGTCAAGCACATAAAAATTAGTTAAAAATACACATCAAGCATACAACTACATAGTACAGTTTCTTGAAGTCCAGGATAATCAGTTTCTTTCTTCTGGATGTTGCACAGGGGCAACATCCAAAACTTCCCAAAAGACAAACATAATAATTTATCTTCAGTGAGAGAGCACCTAACAAAGAAGGGAGATGTCTTTCTGATGTTATAATTCGGTTTCTGCTAGTTTGCATCGATATAATTTCTTGAAAAAACAACTGTCAGTCAGTTTCTAAACATTGTTAGGGAATGTCACATAGTAATTAATGGGAAAGACAAATACACTACAAACACCCTACAACTGGTTAGATTACAAGTAGTAATAAAAAAGCATAAAAATTGAAAACTAAAAAGAAGAAAAAGGGACGACTTTTCCACTTTAATAAAATATAGCTATTTGAGGACTTATGTTTTTCACATCACATTGAATATATATCTAATGGTGAGTTATGAAAGCCTGCAAGACTGGTAGGAGTCTTTGGTTTCTTTGAGTGTATTTCACAAAATATTTAAATTTGAATTCAATGTACAAATAGCTCAACTACTCTTAAAATGAATGATCTGTCTACTCGGGTTTTATTTAAGAGCTTCGTTCATCACAAGCCTCCAACCCTAAAGAGATAGCAACTTCCAAAGAAGCAAGACTAAACTTGATATATTTTCATATACTTAGAAATCACTGAAGATCGTTAACAGTAAACATAACCATCCGCAACAAAACCTTCTCAATGTCTCTTTAGGCCAGAATGTGCTAAACCTATAAAGCTTTTATGTCTTATTTAGTGCTTTAAGACTACATTCTACTCTACTAAGTTTTTTTACACTGCTAAATATGCCAATTACTTAAAAATAACCACGGAAAGCATTTAACGCTGAAATTAAATTCATACAGAGATAGTTTCACATATGACCAAGGTAACTTGCAAAGACAGCTAAGCATATATTTTATGTCTCACCCAGGGGCCTTTAAAAAGGAAGAAAAACACGGCAGAGAAAACACGAAAACCTTGATGTTTTTAACAACTCTCCCCTCTTTCTGCGTTACCCGAGCACAGCTTTGCCAATAAACCTGCGCACCCGAAGGACAGCAGCGGCGCTCCAGCATCTGCAGATTCCTCCTCAAGCGCCCACGGCTTTTCCCGGGGGATGCGGGCAGCCCGAGCCGCCCGGGAGCGCGGGCTCCGCGCACGCAGCGTTTAAATCTCCCGCCCCGCTGCGCCGGCGCTCCCCGCGCACCGCGCCCACAGGAACGGGCGTGCCCGAGCTGCCTGGGCCGCTCCGGCTCGGCGCGGGAGCGGGCCCGCCCCCGCGGGGAGCAGCGGGAGCGCCCGGCCCGTGAGGGCGCCGTGAGGGCCCGCGGGAGCCCCGCCACTGCCCCGCCGCTCCCGCTCCGCCCGGCCAGCGCCCCGCCCCCGCACCCGAAAATGGCGCGCGCACGGAAACGGGCCCCGCGGGACGCGGAGCGCGCAGGCGCCGCACTCGCGGCGGCCGCTCTTCCGCCCGCTCCGGCCCGTCCCCCCGCGTCCGCCGCGCCGCGCCGGGATCGGGAGCTGTCCCAGGTAACGGGGCGCGGAGCGGGCGAGGGGCGAAGGGAGGGGAGACAAGGGACGGCCGTCCCGTGCCGGGATAAGATCCTGGCGGGCGCTGTCCGGGCGCGCCGCGCTCTCTGGACAACTGGGAGGGAGGGAGGGGAGGGCGGCCTGGCGGCCGCAGGGCGGGACAACGGCTGCACCCGCTCCTCCCGCTCCTCCCGCTGCCCCCGTGCACCCGCTGCCCCCGCTCCTCCCGCTCCTCCCGCTCCTCCCGTGCCCCCGTTCCTCCCGCTGCCCCCGTGCACCCGCTGCCCCCGCTCCTCCCGCTCCTCCCGCTGCCCCCGCTCCTCCCGCTCCTCCCGCTGCCCCCGTGCACCCGCTGCCCCCGCTCCTCCCGCTCCTCCCGCTGCCCCCGCTCCTCCCGCTCCTCCCGCTGCCCCCGTGCACCCGCTGCCCCCGCTCCTCCCGCTCCTCCCGCTGCCCCCGCTGCTCCTGTGCCCCCGCTCCCCCGCTCCACCCGCTGCCCCCCGTGCCCCCGTTCCTCCCGCTGCCCCCGCTGCCCCTGTGCCCCCGTTCCTCCCGCTGACCCCGTGCCCCCGCTGTCCCCGTGCCCCCGCTCCTCCCGTGCCCCGCTGCTCCGGCCTGGCGCCGCGGTTCTGTCGCAGGTGGCTCTGCGGGGCAGTTAGCGGCCGGAGCTGGCGTTTGTCACCCGCTGCCCCGTGGGTGTGAGCGCTCCCTCGGGTGCCCGTCTCGGACGGCGGCCGCACGGGCGTTCCAGCCGCCATGGGACCCGTGTCTCTTTGCTAGAGGGTGAACGAGCCTTCCGGGCCGGTCGGTGTTGGGAAGAGCAACAGGTAGTGGTGGACTTGAGGGGATTTCTGCCCCACTTTCATTTTCCCTGTCTCTAGAAGAGGCAGAGCTGCCCTCGGTGCCGCAGTGCAGTTCTGGGCTTCTCAGTACAAGAGAGAGATTGAGGTCCAGTGGAGGGCTGTGAAAGATGATTAATGGACGGAAGCATCTCTCTTATGAGGAGAAGGCTGACAGAGTTGGGCCTGTTCAACTTCGAGAAAAGATTGCTGAGAGGGGACCTCAATCTGTATAAATGTCTAAAGGGAGGGTGTCAAGAGGATGGACCAGGCTCTCCTTGGGGGTACCGAGCAATAAAACTGGAGGCAACAGGCAGAAACTGATGTGCAGGATGTGCCACCCGAACATGAGAAGGAATATCTTTACTGTGCAGGTGATCACGAACTGGAACTGATCGCCCAGAGAGTCTGTGGAGTCTCCTTTACTGGAGATACTCACAAACTGCCTGGACACAAGCCTGTGCTATGTGCTCCAGGATGACCCTGCTTAGGCAGGGAGGTTGGACCAGATGACCCATTATGTCCCTTCAGCCTTACCCATTCTGTGATTCTGTGGGTCAGGCTGTGCTTCTGCAGTGTTTGATGGGATGGTATAGGCTTCTTATGCACTGGCTGCAAATGTATTAGGAGAGGAGTTGTTAACATCAGACATACAGTCTAACATGGAACATTGCCTCAGATAGTCCCAAAAATGTAAAGCACTCCACTGCTGTGTCTTGAAGACTGGGCTTCTGACTTCAGCCCTCTGAAATAATACGTCCTTTTACAACACTACCTGTTGTACTTCCTTCATTATTATTAACTGTTAGTGTTAATTTGGAATTTTTTTGCTGTTTTTGTGACTGTTAAATGTAGTGCGCTATACGTCAGCTAAAGACCTCAAGTATTTTCTTCCTCTCCTTACCATACCTTGTGTTCATCCTGCCATAGGTCTGCTCAGATGTCTTTGCTTTACCTCTGTTTTGCCAGCTGGGTGAAAGGCAGGGTTATAGCTGAGCTGCGTCCAGAGTGTTTAAAGTAGATGTCCCACGAGACAGATGGGATACCTTTCTACCTTATGTGGATACCAGGCCAGCGGGGGCTGCTAGAAAGCCCGTGATGTAGCCTTGGTGACAGCGGGTTGGTTGTGTCAGCCCTGTATGAGCCAAGCTGTGACCAGCCAGGCAGGGGAAAGGGAAACAGTTGTGGAACTCCATAGCAGTGAATACTGTGGAAAGACAGGCTATTGATTGAGTTGGAACATGGGTGAGTATCAGTGGATGCAGCCTCTGCCTTCCTATTCTTTGATGTGTGCAGGGTAAGTACTTTCCTAACATATTGTTTTATACAGGACATTTGGGACTTGGGTTTTTCTTTTATGCTCTCATTATATGCATAACAATTGCTTGTTGTAATTTGAAGTGATCTGTTGATTGTTTTTATAATTGAATATGTCTTGCCTGCTCCCAATTATAGATCCAGTTTTTATTCCTAACTGTATACTCTTAACGTTCCATGGTAGTGAAGTTTAAGTTTTATTAAATCAGTACTCTTGATTTCTCTTCCTGAATGACTGTTGGATTCTTGTTTGAATTATTAACTTGACTTTGTCATCACAAATTTCCATTAACATATTCTTACTTTATGTTGTAATATACTAAAGTATATTTTATACTTCAGATTTTAGGAATGATACCTGATCCATTAAAAAATCCTTTTGTTAACATTTGTCAATAATGTCCTTTGTTGGCTTCTCAGTAGTCTATTATATATTTTTAAATGTACTGATGTATTTTTTTGCCAGTTTAATTGTTTCCAGTATAGTATTGCATACTTTAATAACCTTCAGATAGCTTGGATCAGCTGCTTTTTCTTTGCCTTGAATAGTAATTCCCAAACTGTTGTTAAAGTTAGGGTAAGTAGTGCTGAGACTGAAAGCAATAGTTTTTTTCAATTAAAAACTTAATGTAGAAAATCAGGGGTGCTTTGGTGCAAGAGTTTTGGGAGCTATTAATGTAAAAAAAAATCTTTTCCTGTCAAAAATATCAAGATGACATGAAGATAAAATTCAAACATGTAATTTTCTGTGTATTTATTTTTTAAAATGTTGGTTATTTCTTCCTGTGCCTTTTAAAACCTTGTGTCTTGTAAAATCTCAGTAATGCGTTCCTTGTGGTTGTGGTCGGTTTCTTACTCCTTTTGGGTTTTTTGTACTCAGGGAAGGTTCTGCATCCACTGATATTTGTCATAATTTCTGAGGCTGAGTTTCCTTGTAGTTCCAGTTAAGTTTTGTTTTCAGTACTAGCTCTTTAACAGTTTTGAGGTGCTGACAGTTCTGTTTTTTGCCTTCCTCATAGTTAGATTACATGAGATTATTTTGTTCTGTTTTCCTCTCTTACACTCTCTTTTCCTTAAATGTTCAAATTGTATAGCAACGGAACTCATAGCCCTCATCTTTAGTTTGGATCTTATTAATTACAACATTTAAAGCTTATGTTTCCCCTTCTTTTTAGAGGAAGATTTTAATGGAACAGCAGATTCCATGAATACTTGTCTTCATATTTGGGTGATGGATGCAAAGAGCTTGCAAGTCACTGTTTCCTGGTCTGAGTAATTTGAGCATGAAGCCATGTTTTTGTAGTAAACCCAGAGTAGCATAGCAAAAGATATGTAAGCCGAATCATGAAGTGTTATTTGCTCCTTGAGTTCCTTGTGTGTTGTATTAAACTACATAACATAAAGTGGATATGGTAGTTTTACTGTAAATACTTAATAAGAATCATGATTATAATAATAATAGTAATAATAATGATCAATAATAAACATAATCATCCTTTTTCTTTTCCTTCAGTAATATTTGATAAAGAAATCCCTACCATACAAAGTTGTTGCTGGAGTGTCAGGTGGCAAGTTTATTGCATTTCTGCATTTTCTTTGAATTTTGTACATTCCACATGATGGAAAGGGATTAATACTGTTTTTTCTTTATCTTTTAGATGCTATGCCATGGAAAATTAATAAGGGGACTATAAGACACTGTTTATAAAGCAGTCAACAACATATAGACTAGAAATTAGATGTTCTTTGTAATGAGGTAGGAAATTTTGATGTCTCATGTGTCTCTTATAATAAATGCTGTTCTCTGTGATACTTGGTAGTTTAAGCTGTCTGGCCTCTTGTCAGTTGAATTCAGGCAATAGTTTGACCAGAGCATTAGGCTGACAAAAGGAAACTGCTCAGAAAAGCATCTCTTTCTCCACAGTGACCCATGCATACAGATCTGTATGGTGAAGTGTTTAGGAACTCACCTAACTAACATTAAAAAAAAAGTTCTTTCCTGCATTACTTTTTCATAGAATCAAAGACTTGAGGTGATTTATTATTTTGTTGTGTAAAAAGCTGCTTGCTTTTTACACGGGATGAGGGATGAGACAGAACGAGAAGAGGGAAAAAAGTCTGCTCCTCTCCATTGCAGCACAAGTTCTTGCGACTGAAGTTGTGCTTCAGCAGTCTTTATTTCACTGAGTTTTCTGTAGATTCTCAAAGTAACTAATCATAAAACAGAGAGAATGTGGAGCAAGAACCACTGAGAAGCTCTGGGAGGGCTTTGCCAAGGGAGCCCCTGGGGTCCTGAGGCTGTGCACTGCACAGCTGGACCCGCTGCGCTGACCTGCCTGGATTTCTCACAGAACGCGTCACCTCCCTCCAGGAGATCATGTCAGGAGCTGTTAGGCTGACCTGTATGACTTCTCTCCTGCATTATCCCATCTGTCCCAAGGGACAAGGAAGTGTTTGCTTGTTGTCATCACCTGTATCCATGACTAGGAGTCTTCTGGCCTCCAAGCCCCCAGTATGTTTAGACATGTGTTACAAACTTTGGGCGTGCTATGTCTTTAATGCTGGTCATTCTTTCCTGCACCCTACACATTTTTATTTTTTTTTTAATAAATAAGCAGCCTATTCTTAGGCCATGTGTCATTCAGTGGTCTTTCTATAGGAGTGAATGTTAAAGTACATTTATTGCCTCTGAATTTTCCTTGAACTGGTGCTGTGCATTAAAGTTGGTTGTCATCTTTCTTACAGGGGAGCTGTAGATGAAGCTGAGTAGGCAAACATAATCAATTTCAGAAAAGTTTTGATATCAGAAAACTATGCAACTGATATTAGTTTTAGCCTGTTTTAGGTATTTAGCAGTAGCTGCTTTAACTGCTGACCAATAAAAGGATTGTGTATGGCATTTGTGTAAATAGCACCTTGCTTCTACTGAGGGCAAGCATGCCAACTTCTGTATTTTGTGTAGGTGTTTGAGTCTGTAGGTTTGAAGAATGTAATATGTACTTTTGAGGGAATTAAAACCCATACCATAAGCTTATGATTACAGAAAATACAAGATTTTTGTATTTTTTAGTAAAGCTTGTTACTTTTGCAAGATTCATTTCAGACCAGTCCTATTAGTGCTGGAAGACTGTGCTTTATTTATTGATTTGTAGAGAAAATTTATACATGTGTCCTCTATATAAAGAGAATAGTTATCCTTTATTAGGAGCATTTTGTTTACCGTGATAATTTTTTACTAATTTGTAGTGTAAGAAACAGCTCAGGAACAGAGCTATGAATCTAAATTTTCCTTTATTCTAGTTTTATGTGTTCCGCATATTAATTTTCTCAGCTTTTATCAACCACAAATAATTAATGCACTTCAGTTTTGGCCATACAGCTGACTTTAATCAAACCTGTATTGATGTTGCTGATTATACTATGTTAGTTATGTACTTCTTACCGCTAATCTTCGACTCCATTTCTAACTAAAAAACAATTCTAGCAAGTATTCCAAAGTCTAATGTACCATGGAAAGCAGAATCAAGGTTGATTTTAGTTATTCAGCTTGATTAGAATAATGAAGCTGTGTTTCCTTTGTTTTGATACAACTCCTTCATAGCAACCGTAGCCTTAAGTTACTGAGATTTAAGAGCTGGGAAAGCATTTGTTGCAATGTTTGCTATGAGTTTAATATTTGTTTTACCAAAGTAAATAATTTGGTATTTCCGTGCATCACCTGTGGATGTGTTGTCACCTAGATAACTGAAAACTATAATATTTCATTATTTTCATTTTTCAGTACTCATGGGTAAGAGAAAGGAAGGAAGTGTTTTAACTCCTGGGTCCCAGAAAAGGCAGAGAAAAGAACACACAGATGTACATAATGATGTGTCTAATGAAGAAGAAACTTTAGAATTCTCAGCTAATAGTAGTGCCCCTTCACAGCTGGTAAGTATAAAATGTCATAGAGATGAAGATATAAGAAAAGTTCTGTGCCTATTGAAATAAATGTCTTGGATGTAGGCATCAGTAGAAGAAAGTAAAAGAAACTAGGGATACTGTCTGTGGTAAGGACTTCTGCATGAGGTTATTCTTTTTCTTTTGGGTCATCTATAGTTATAATAGATGACAATTAATCAAAATATAACAATATTCTGATTTAATAGAAGGAATACTACTGAAGATGCAAAGTAAATGAAGGAAATGAATTTTGATAGAGCTGTGGTATATTTCAGTTATGGTTGTAGTAAAGGCAGACAAAATATTTGGAAAACTATTTTATTTACTAAAAGAAGTGCCAAATAATTGTTTATTTTGCATTGCTGACACTTTCAGATATCTGAAGAAACATCTAGTGTTTGAAATGCAAATTTTGATGGAAAAGAAACTTGAAAACAGGAATATTATTTTGTCTGCTTTTCTTTTAGTAGTTGGATTTTAGTTTGATAGAAGACCTTAAAAATGATTTTTGAGATTGCAAATACTGTCCTGTGTATTTAGATTGGACATTAGGAAGCGTTTCTTTACCAGTGGTAAGACATTGGACCAGGCTTCTCTAAGGGGTTGAACCTCTCTGGGTGCCAGGTGTGCACCAAAAACACTCTGTCACTGGCCTACTTTCCTAGACAGGGGAGAGAAAATACAACAAAATGCTTGTGGTTGAGATAAGGGCAGGAGAGATCACTCCCCAGTGACTACTATGGGCAAAACAGACTCAGCCTGGGGAAATTAACTGAATTTATTTACAATCAAATCAATATTTGAGAGATAATGAGAACCCAAATCTTAAAACACCTTCCCTCCACCTGTCCTTGGCTCCTCTTCACTCCCACTTTTCTTCTCCCCCCAACCCAAGGCACGGGGAGTGGGGGCTTCAGTCAGGTATGTTGTCTCTGGCACTCATTCCTCTTCAGAGGGAGGAGGCACATTTGTTTTGTGCTCCAGTGTGGATACATTCCACAGGATGCAGTCCCTCAGGAACAGCTTGTTCCAGTGTGGGTCCCCCATGGGCTCACAAGTCCTCCCAGCAAACTGCTCCAGTGTAGACTTTCCATAGAGTCACAGCCTCCTTCGGGAATCCACCTGCTCCAGCACAGAGCTCTCCATGGGCTGCAGGTGGATCTCTGCTCTAATGCCTGGAGGACCTCCTGCCCCTCCTTGGTGTCTGCAGAGCTGCTTCTCTCACATATTCTCACTCCTCTCTTCTCTGGCTGCAGTTGCTGCAATTGCAATTTCCCGTTCCTGGCTCTTAGCCTGGAGACACTACTGCTGTTGCTGATGGGCTCAGCCTTGGCTGGCAGTGGGTCTGCCTAGGGGGTGCCTGGGGAATGGAAATGGCTCTGTCAGACATGGGAAAGGTTCTGGCAGGTTCTCACGGGAACCACCCCTGTAGTTTCCTGCCCCTGCTACCACAACCCAAAGCCAGTACAGCTTCCTAGAGAGGTGGTTGGTACCCCAAGCCTGTCAGTATTTACAAGACATTTGGACAATGCCCTTAATAACATGCTTTAACTTGGTCAGCGGACTGTGTGGATCTATTGTGTTAATATTTCACGTTGTATTGATAGTAAGTTACTAATAGGGAGAACTGAAAGTTGCTGTGTGTAAGGGATCAGCTTTGGTAACTTTTTATTTTGCTAAATAACTGTTTTATAGCAAGCGACTTTATGCAGTGCTGTGAAACCCTTCTGTTTCCTTGTGGCTTGCAACAACCAAGGTTTTGTATCATACAGTCTTACACTTCTTATTATGTTTAAAGTATATAAACTTAATCTCATTCAAATGCATATATAACTTGAGTTTAATTGTTCATTCTTTAGCCTGATGGCGAGGTTGGGATAATTGAAAGTATCCAGCTGAAGAACTTCATGTGCCATTCAAATCTGGGGCCTTTTCAGTTTGGATCCAATCTCAATTTTGTTATTGGAACCAATGGAAGTAAGTATTAATTGCATAGCATCTTTGTCAAAGAACGCTTCTGTTAGTAATGTAGAAGATGTAGTTTTTTATTTGAAAAAGAATTGCTGGCCATCTTTTAGGTGTGGACAAGGATTCACTTTGGAAATGAGGTACTACACTGGTCTATCCCAGTACTTAAAGGCTGGTGGGCTAGGTCTTAAAATTGGGGATTTTTGCAAAAGATAATGTGAATATAAATATTTTAATTGCTAAATAATGCATAAATTTTTATTTGAATTGAATGTACTTACATGTTTATTATTAAATGCACTATAATTGTCCAAGGGCCTGCAGTGCCCATCAATGAGTTTGGAGAAACCACAGTAATTGTAGTGGGGGGTTGAAGTATTGCTGATAGTTGCATAATGCTAAACTAGATCTGAAGCACATTCAGCAACATCCTGCTTCCTGATGGTTTGAGCTTCCTGAGGACATCCAAAATTTTGAGAAGCTGTTGTAGTTAGCCTGGAGAAGGAGGGGAAGGTGTGTCCTCTCTCGGTTGGCTCTGGGACGGGTGAAAGGTGTAATTGTGAACAGTTGCTGCTAGATGGCTCCCGCAGCCCAGGGATGAGGGTGGTGCCGCGTGCCAGCAGATCCGTCATGTCATACCATGTCATTTATCGTATCATATCTTATCAGCCAGCATTGCAGAGTACTTCAAAATTACAGCCTTAGCCCTGGCCCCAAAGGTGATAAACACCAAAGTAGGGAGCGAATGCTATGAGGAAGGTGGTACATGATTCAGCTCTGAAAACCAGCACAACAGCTCTGAGAGAATAAATCAGCACTGTGATCAGCAACTATTAAGCTAATATCATGAATGCTTAGAGCAAATTTGTTTTAACATACTCTGGTCAGTTATATCAACCCATTGAGCCCCACATTGGGTGCTTGAAAGGACTGTTGTCATTTAATCCCTTTTGGCAAATAAATATCATACAGCCACTCACTCACTTCCCCATGTCCCCCAGTGGGATAGGAAGGATAATTTAAAAAAGTAAAACCTGTGGTTTGGAGTAAGAACAGCTTAATAATTGAAATAAAGTAAAATATAATAATTACTGTAATGAAAATCAGAAAGAAAGAGAGGAATAAAATGCAAGAAAAACAAGTTATACATAATGCAGTTGCTCACAACCAGCCCATCCGTGAGCAGCAATCAATGGCTCCTGCACAGCATCCCCCAGTTTATGCGCTGGGCATGACGTTCTATTATATGGAATACCCCTTTGGCCAATTCGGGTCAGTTCTCCGGGCCAGGCTCCCTCCTGCCTCTTGTGCACCTCCTCAGTGGCAGAGTATGAGACACTGAAGGGTCCTCAACTTTACTGCTTAGCAACAACCAAAGCATGAGCATGTTATCAGCATTATTGTCATGCTGAACCCAAAACACAGCACAAGCTACTAGGTAGAAAAGGATCTCTATCCCAGCTAAACCAGGACATAGAAACTAGTATAGGAAAAGGAAGTGATACCTATTTATACCATCTTGTTTCTTCTGGAGAAAGAATTTAAAAAATAAACATAAATTTTGAAAGAGAGCTCAAAACCTTTCAGATAATTAGATAAATTGTAATGTGTGTTTGATTTCTTTTGTTGTATACATGTTTTCAGTCTGCTTTTAAGAAAGAGGAGATTCCTTCCTTCTGACCCAAGACATTTTTTGCTAAATAGAAGTAAGAAGTTGGCTCAGCATGTTGGGTTTTTTTAGGGAGAACCTTGAAAATGGCAGATACTTTACTAGCATTATTGTTATTTTTTATGTTCAATAAGGGCAGAATTTGGACTTCTAATGCATGAATATATAGCAAGTCAAAAACTGTAATATGGGTGGAGTAGAAATTACAATATCTTCTCTTTAAAACAAGTTCAATGCTTCAATTACAGGTGGAAAAAGTTCTGTTTTAACAGCACTAATTGTTGGACTTGGTGGAAAAGCCACTGCGACTAACAGAGGTTCCTCATTAAAAATGTTTATTCAGAAAGGAGAGACGTAAGTTAAACTTTAATCTAAAAGTTGCATTTGTAGTTGTGATGGATGTCATTGAGGTTAGCTTATGATTTTCTGTTTACACTAATTTTCTGCATCTTCTTATGAGATCCACCAGCCTTGAATGAAAAGCATAACGCTGAAGAGACCATATTTAAACAACACTCTCCCCTCGCAAAAAACCTGCAAACCCTGAAAACAAAAAACTTCAGAAGTTTTACCACTAGTATATCATTATTTCTGAATGTTGTATTTTGAAACCAACTGGAAATTAAGCTCCAGACAGCTGGTCTCTGTCCCCTTCAGTGAGAGAGAGATAAAGGTGGAGATTATGCATTGAAATAAAAATGTGCTGAAAAAAGCCATCAATGAGATAAGGAAAACAAATGCTAACAGCAACAATACTAATAACAACAGTGTATAAAACAGGGTGTTTGCAAGCAGAAATGCTCACTGAGTCTGACTCAAGGCGACTGCACCACAGCCCGAGTCAGACATCTTCTGAGACAAAGAAAATGGCAAATGGAAGTGTTTATGCCTCTGTGGTGAAAAAAAAGGAACAGCGGTGCACAAATCATCCGCACCCACATTCCCTCCCCAAGCCCAAGACAAGAAAAACAATGACACACCAACCCCAGCGTAGGACTGGAGCCATCCCACTGTTTCACTTACCATCCACTTTCCCTGGAATAAAGGAACAAAATGGTGGCAGTTCCACTTCATGCTCTCCTTATCTTCCAGCTGAAGCTGTGGCCCCATGGATGATGTGTGGGGCACAGAGTAACAACACTCAAATGGCTCTGAGTTCTGCCCCTCACAGTAATTGCAAGAAAATAAGCTCTGTCCTACCTGAAACTTAGACACTGAACTAGTTAACATAGCCGTAGGTTCTCTATATTCCCTGCTCTTGTATATTACTTCCACTCTGCAGTTGAATATCCTACAGAAAAATGAAGTCCACTAGAAAAATTCATAGGCGACTAGTTATCATTGTTTTACAAGAAGTGAGGTTAATTATTTTTCAATCTTTCTGGTGATGTGAATGAATATAAAGACCTTGACTTACAGCTGGATATTTGAACATTCAAAATGCAGATTCATGTCTGCTCTGAGGGTGGAGATAACATGTTTAGGGAAACCAATAAAAAGATAGGAGGTTTGTGAGTTTATATTTACATGAAGCTGTTATTCTGAGTCCCAGTCTTTTACTTTCAGAGATGCATAAGAGTAAAATTGTTGTAGTACTTGCCTTATGAATATGAAGTTAATGTTTCAGCACTCACTGGAGAAACAAGAAATAGGAATTTGGAGCTGAAATCGCATCTCATCTTTTCTAGAAGAATGGCTTAAGCATTCTGCTATAGAATATTTTGGTTAAGCTGTAGAAGCCAGACAACTGTATACAGAAGCCAATTTGAAAAAAGAACTACCAAAAAGCAGCTTGATTCTGTGATGTAAAATGAGGGCACTCAGATGAGAAAAGAAGATGGATGAAATCTTCTCTCACAAATATTTGATTTTGGCTCATTATTTAGGTGAAGCATAGGAGGTGCAAGCAGTCAGTGTATGGCAGCAGTGTGTCTGTCATGGTTATGGAGAAGCGGGCTGGAGTTTCTGTCAGTGTTTGATTCCATACCACCCACATCATGGCAGGGCTGTGGTGTCAGCATGAGGATGCTGGGGCCAAAATCAGCTTTTGCTTTTCCCAGGTTCAAGGGGAGGGGTGTGTAGGTGTCAGGGTCAGCCCAGCAGACTTTGCCTGTTTCTGCCACTGGCAGTCTGTCTTGGTTTAGAGACAGATTTAGGAGAAAACACTCTGGAATGAGTGTCTCCTCTGAAGGGAATGGCTTCAGTAATCCCTTTTGCCAATGAGAAAATGAATACCAGCGGGTGAAACTAAAAAGACCCTGTTTATTAACTAACTAAGTGCTTGCATGGCACGAAAAAAAATGAATAAATGCTAGATACTGAACTTTCAGAACCTTATCCCCCCCCCGCACACACACTGCAACAAAAAAACCTCAGGATGCTAGGGGGAGAAATAAACAGGCTGGCTGCATGGCGGGACAGAATGGTGGCTGGCTTTTATCTCAGGGAAGAGGAAAAAATTAATGCAGTGGCTTGGGCAAAACAGGTGGGAACCTGCTGGTGTTGGTCCCCTCCTCACTGCAGATGAAGCTGGTGAATTTTGGTGTCCTTTTTCTTGTTGATTCATCTTTGCCCGAGGTTTTGGACTGGCTGGAGTGACCACCACTGCCACTCTTAGTACTTATCTGATCTTGGACCAAAACCAAGCTGAAACAATTCAAGAAAAACAAAATAACCCCCCCAAAAAAAAAACAACAACAAAAAAAAAACCCCACCAAAATACCCTGCAGTCCAGTAGAAAGGTGTGGTGGAGGGGAAAAAGGAAACTTCTTGCATAAGCTACTAAAAGTCGAGTTAGCTAAGCAACAAAGCAGCTGCTGCTCTGCACAGCACCCGGCATGCTGGGGAGTGAGCCTTGAACACCAAGTGCGCACAGGGGCCCCCAGGGCCCACCTTAAAGCCACAGCAGACATTTCCGGCCATAAAGCAGACAATCAGCAATAGAGCATCATCATGAAATCGCCCCAAGACACGGCCCCTTTCCCCTCCTCCGAGCCACGGCTTTTGGGGTTGGTGCTGAAAGACAGCTCCGGCGGGCGCAGGGTGCCGCTGAGAGAAGGAGAAAAGGGAGGGAACAGCAGCGGGCGGAGCTGAGCCCGGCCGAGCCGTGCGGAGCCACAGCCACAGTGCAGCCACTGCAGCAGCCGTGCAGCACCGCCACTGCAGCAGCCGTGCAGCACCGCCGCTGCAGCAGCCGTGCAGCATCGCCGCTGCAGCAGCCGTGCAGCACCGCCGCGGCCAGAGCCGCCGAGCGCTCCCGTCCCCTCGTGTGCAGTCAGGCCCAGGAAAAGGGTCCCTGACCTGATTCAGGGCCCTGTCAGGTCCCACTAGGCTCTGCCTTGTCCCTGTTGTCCCGTTGTTTTCGGGCTGGGGAAGAGGAAAGTTAAGCCACGAGCATCCCTGACACGGTGCCTTTGGTTTCTCATGCACTACATGGCCCAGCACGAGGCCAGTTGCATTTTGACTTTGAGAAACCATGCCAGAAGCTGTCTTGGGGAAGTATTCTTGTTTAGTGGTGAATACCCTTCTGTGGGTAAAACACTCTGTTTTGTACACTCCTACTAATATTGTGGTTTTGAGATTTTGCAGTAAATTGTGATTCCGTTTTTTAATCTCTACTGTTGTTTCCTCCACTGTGGGAAGGGGGTGGAGGAAACGGGGCAGCTTGAGTGGGTTTACTTTTCCTGCTGGGTTTTAAACCAGCAATGCATCTAATTCTGTTATGGCTCAAACCAAATAAATACATGTTTTTCTGATTTGTACTGTGACTTGCAGCTGTGACTTGTAGGACACAAGACAATTTATACAGAAATTTGAAATGTTCTGATTTTTTTTTGTTATTTTTAGATTTGAAATTAATTTCAGGGGATTTTTTATTTATTGTATTTTATGTTTTTTTAGTTCTGCAGATATTTCAATAACTTTGCGAAACCAAGGAAGAGATGCATTTAAACCAGAATTGTATGGTACCTCTATTACTGTGAATCAGCACATTAATCAGGATGGAAGCAGAACTTGCAAACTGAAAAGCAAATCTGGTTGGTGGTAGTTTGCTTTGTTCTCGGTGTCAGAAGTTCTCTAAACTTGTTCATGGCTTTGAATGCCTTGATGTTAGTAAAAGATGAAGATGATGCAAATGTCCGTTTTTTTGTTTTTATCCCAAACGAAGTATGTCGAAAGCAATTATGTATTTTTTGATATGTATTATTTAGTATGTCAGCTGTTACATTATGTATTTGTTTTTACAAAAGTCTGCTTGCATGATGAGGCTGAACATAGTTTTTAGTATTTTTTGAGGTTTTATTGAGTTTGCTGATTTATCTAAATTTTGTCACAGAGGGTTTATGAGGCAAAGAAGGACTTCAATTATTTGAAGTCTTTCTGTGCAAATGAAAATATATTGAAAAAAAATATAATTAAAACAACCCCCTAACCAATGTTTCTAGTTTAGGTCTAAGTCTGTGTTACAAAAATATGGATTTCATTTTTTACATTTTCTGCAATTAAGAAAATACTCTGGGACATTATACCTGTTTAATTTTTCCTTTGTTTTTTTTAATCACTAGGGACCATAATTTCTTCAAAGAAGGAAGAACTCATAGGAATGCTGGATCATTTTAATATACAGGTAGTTGTTGTAGTGTTTAAATTCTGTGCAATTTAAGAAGACATTGGTATGTGATATTATAATTCTTCCATTAAAAAGAAATGTACAATTCCTTAAAGGAGAGAGTTGTACCTCTTCCATATCATTTAAAGATCAAATTCATCAGCAAAAAGAAAATTGAAATATATAACTCATGCAATGCAGAATAGGATCCTGTCCCAGACAGATAAGTATTTGCTGTCATCTATGAGCTGTTGAGTCATGTGTCCTATTGATGAAAGTCTGGACATATGTAGGTTTCTTTTGTATCTGGAGAGTTTTTTCTGCTGATTATTTCAGTTCTTGCTGTTTCAGAAATTTGAATATGATTTTTCTGCTAATTGAATAATAAAAGATGAGGTAGTGCTTATGAATTTTAAAATACTCAACTTAACTTAGAATTTCAAGTAATAGAAATTTCAGTTAGTATGTATTGATTTTATTTTGTGCCAATGAGTCAATTAATTGCCTTTATTGTAATACATTGACACAACAAGAATTTCTAATGCTGATTTTGTTAAATAAATGGAACTTACAGGTATTGTTTTTATAGAAGTCACGTATCCTCTTGGAAGCAGTTCCTTAGTTGTCCTTGCTATAGTTCTATTTTGTATTTGATAATAGCTGAATTTTTAAATTTTCTGTTTATTATTGGCTTTGTTTGTTATGTTTTGGTTTTTTTGAAGATGTGAGAGGATTAGCAAGCTTCATTTCACAACATTAGCTCAGTAATAAGTTGCAAGACTGAAACAGTGTGCTCACTTTCTGGGCAGTTACATGGTAACTTGCAATTAAAAAAAAAAAAAATTATTTATTTTTGCAGGTAGATAATCCTGTGTCTGTTTTAACCCAAGAGATGAGTAAACAGTTTTTACAGACTAAAAATGAAGGGGACAAGTACAAGGTAAGGAAAAAAATTTAGCATAGTCATAAAACTTTAAAATGCTGATTGCAATTTTTTAGAGCATTTGGGGAAAAAAAAAAATCAAATTCCTTAGTTTTAATTCCCTTTTTTGGGCTAACTCAGGTAAGTAGCTAAATACCACACAACCACTTGCTCATTTCCATTCTGTGCTGCCCACAAGCTTGGAATGGGGGAATGGGAAATGGAGAGTAAAAGTAAAAAAAAAAAAAATAGAGGGATGAGATATAATTTGTGTAATAACTGAAGTGAAAGCTGGAAGGAGAGAGAAAGAAAGTGAAAAAAATAAGAGATGCAAAAAGAATCACTCACCGCCTCCTACTGGTAGTCTGAGGCCCAACCAGTGCCCAAGCAAAAGATGACTAATCCCCCTAAACCCTCTCTTACCTCTTTTTATTGCTGAGCTTGACTTTGCTGGTTTGGGCTGGGTTAGAGTTAATTTTCTTCATGGCAGTTTGTATAGGGCTACTTTGTGGATTTGTGCTGAAAACACTGTTGATAATGGGGAGATGTTTTCCTTATTGCTGTTTTTGTAACTGCTGAGTAGGGCTTACACAGAGTCAAGGCTTTTTCTTCTTTTTCCACCCCACCAGCAAGGAAGTTGGGGGTGCACAAGGCTTTGGGAGGGGTCACATCCAGGACAGATGACCCCAGCTGACTAAAGGGATATCCCAGACCATATGGCATCATGCTCAGCATATAGAGCTGGGGGAAGAAGAGGGAATTGGGGGATGTTTTGAATGATGCATTTGTCTTCCCAAGTCACTGTTAGGCATGATGGAGCCCCACTTTCCTGGAGATGGCTGAACACCTGCCTGCCCTGGGAAATGAGGAATGAATTCCTTGTTTTGCTTGGCTTGCGTGTGCAGTTTCTGCTGTATTATACTATTTTTATCTCAACTCCTGTATTTTCTTGCCTTTACTTTTCTGATTCTCTTCCCTATCACACCCCAGGGGAAAGTGAGCAAGTGGCTGGGGCTAAACCATCACAATGACATTTTCTGAGGTGGCATATCTCTTTGGCTGCTTGGGATCATCTGCCTGGTTGTATACCTCCCCAGCTTTTTGCACACCCAGCTGGTCTATTCACTGAGAGGACACAGAGTGAGAAACAGGAGACCTCAGTGCAACAGCTAAAATAGGAGTGTATAGTCAGTATTTTTTTGATCACTCTCTAAAATAAAAAACTGTAACAGTTGCTGTAAAGAAATTTAACTCCATCCCAACCAGAGCCAGTGCACTCTCTGATTGCACCAATCATCCACTTGCACAAACAATATTTTTGAAGATTCTTCTCTCTAAAGAGATGGATAAATTTAAATTTTAGGGCTCTGCTGAGTTAGTTCATTATTCAGAAATGCCCCTATCAGAAATGAGTGTTTTAAGTCGCCCAAGGAAACACTGGCACTGGTATCAGCTAAAGCAGGTTTAATACTAAAGTGAAATTGTGGCTAAATTCGTTGGCAAGGTTCACTCTCCAACTTATGCAGATGCACAAGAGGAAAACTGGACTAAAACCTGAAATTAATCTAAAACCAAAATCAGCCTAAAATGATCTATGTGCGGATTAGAATGGGAAAAAGGTAAGGATGAAAAGGAGTAAGGGAGACCTTCTCATTAAGTCCCATTAATGGACCTACTTGCCAAACTGAGCTGTGGACTTGACCACAGTTTAAGCCTGAAGGTTTTGACAGTGCATTAATTTAACAGTACTTAATTAGTAGCCTGCTTTCAACAATTTGACTGATGATTCTTAGAGAGTTTACAATAGCACAATGGTAACTCACTTGTAGGCCTAATTTTCTTACTAATCTAAGTACCTAAGAATCTTAAGAAACATTCATACTACAGTTGCTATACTATGTACACACTTGTATGTAAGTAGACCTTAAGAGTATGTACAAGTTGTGTACCTGTAAAAAATTCCCTGCAGCTCCGAGAAGTACTCATATCAAATGCCTTTGAATCTTCTGAGCGGGTGAAGGGTGATCCCTGAGGAGTCGGGGGTAATAGCCCAGGCTCTGTCACCTCCTGGCAGCAGTCCTCCAAGTAAACTTGAGAGTTCTCTGGCTCACAGTGGTGTCTCACTCAGAGGGGGATGCTGTCACAGCCCACTGCGGTCCAGGAGAACTCAGTGGGTCTCACTTGGTACCATTATTCATAGGTCACAACCTAGTGACCTGACCACAATTCAAGTCAGTAACTTTCTTTGAAAATTCAGTAACAAAAATGATGTTCCATTTGGGTTGTTAGTCAGGCAAGAAAAAGAAATTTTAAAGGCTCTTCATTTAGAAAGAGGAGTTTGTCAGACAGTGTAAGTTCCTAGGAATAGAGAGTGTTTCTGATAAACTGAAGAGGAGCTGAACCCAGCTTCTGTTCATCAAGGCTGGGGCTACCAAACATTTCAAATATCACACTGTGGCCCGAGGAGGGAGTGGAAGTTGTACCACCACAACCTGACCAGTTTTTTCACTTTGGATATCATTCAACATGCAGGATGTTGGGATGAATGGTCATTCTGTCATAATTATTGAAGGTCCACTTAAGTAAGGTGCTGATCTCGCATCTACTTCTGTTTATTCCTTTTTAGTTTTTTTTGAAGGCAACTCAGCTGGAACAAATGAAAGAAGATTATTCATTTATTGGAAAAACAAAAACAAATACCCGTGTTCAGATAGAACAAGGGGAAGAGGTATGTAAAAGTTAAAGAAATTATTAGGACAGATCTGAGCAGTGAAGGAAGTACGGGAATAAAAGTGCATAGTTTTGATTTTATTAGATCTCAGTGACATTAAATTTCACAAACCTCAAATCTTTCCAAAATTTTATATTATATCACAGCTTTTTGCTACCCCTGTTTTTGAACCCCTGTTTTTTGAACCCCTGTTTTTGAACCCTTTTTTTAACCCCTGTTTTCTTTTTCAAGCGTCTTGAAGAACTTAAGCAGCTTTATTTGGAGAAGAAGGAAATTTTCAAAAGCATCGCATTTGTGAATGACATGCAAAATCGTCTCAAAGATCTGAAACATCAAATGGCATGGGCAGTGGTAAATGTCTTCCTAAAATATGTTTGTACATATGAAATGTGCTTCATTCCCAGTCTGCTGTGCACATACTAATACAGGCTTCTTTAGGTGAGTGAGATGGAAAAAGAAATAGAGCTGCTCAAAGAAGGCATCAAAGCTGAAGAAGGAAATACAGAACTCCTTCAGAAGGTAGAAGAATGCCAGGTATGTATATGGTCTAAACCATATATTACTCTAGCTGTAGTCACCCCCCAAGTCAGAGATATGTTGTGAAGGTTTTCTTGGGTATCATTGCCTTTAGAAAAGAGCAATGATTTCAGGAGACTTATGGGAGTTTTGGGATGGTTCTTAAGACTTCTGTAGGTAGCAAGAAAGAATAATTTTGTCATACATTCTGATTCGCATATGAAACACATTTTGTGCAGAAAAACAGGCATCATTATTTTGAATCTAGAATCAGAGAATAGTTTGGGTGGGAAGGGACCTTAAAGATCATCCAGTTCCAGCCCCCCTGCCACGAACATGAACACCTTCCACTGCATCAGGCTGCTCAAAACGCCATCCCACCTGGCACTGAACACTTCCAGGTATGGGACATCCACAGCTTCTCTGGGAAGCCTGTGCCATTGCCTCACCACCCCCACAGTAAAGACTTCATTCCCTATATCTAACCTAAATTTCCCCTCTTTCAGTTTAAACTCATTATTCCTTGTTATATCAATACAGATAATGAAGAATCCCCTCTCCAGCTTCCTTCGCTCCCCTTCAGCTACCCAAAGGCTGCTATGAGGTCTCCACTTCTTCAGGCTGAACAGCCCCAAAACTTTTTAGTCTATTAAAACTCCTCAAAACTTTCTTTGTTAGCCCTTATTTTCCTTTTTTTTTTAATGTTTTTATGGTTTTTTTTCTTTCTTTTAAAAAGTATTTGTTTCGCAATTGAGGCATTTTTTCTTTATGGTCAGTGTGTCTATGTAGCGATGAGGGAAAATTGTCTAGATGCTGGTTTCATTTCTTTTGATGTCATGGTTCTTCACCTTATTGGATTAAAAGTCCTGTGTTTGAATAAACCTTGAGATAGAAAAAAAGGTTGCTGTCTACATCACAGATTTGGTACTCTGTTGATTTCCCAAGAATGAACATTTATGAGTTTTCATCTTAGTATATCCATAGTGACAATGTCTTACTCTTTTTTTTTAAACCCAACAGAATACATTCAATTGTTAAAAATTGAAATGTGTCTGATGGATTCCTTTGAGAGATATTTGTCTTGTAACATTAAGAGGTTTTGAAGAAAATTTTGTTCCATTACTACTTGTTTTGTTGTTTTTTTCACCAAAGGTAAAAGTGAATGAAGCAGAAAAAAAGTACAAAGCAATACAAGATAAATTGATAACAGTAAGTGAAGAAGCACAAGCCCTTCATCCTCAGTGTATTTCTTTGAAGGCTGAAGTGCAGGCAAAAAGAAAAACAGTCAATGAAACTGAGGTAGGCAAAAAAACCCCTTTCAAAGTTCATACCAATTTAAAGCTATAAACTTGTCCGTGCTCTACCCATCTGGAATTCTACACCTGTGTTGGCTTCCTGACTCCATGCTGAGTTCAGAAAAGGTTCAATTTCCTGCCTGACTGGCAAGTAGTGTCTGTTCAGGAGCCCTGGTGTTTATACCTTTACATAGTTACTAAACAGTGTTAAGCTTAGGTCAAAATAGATAAATAGATGTAATTTTTGAAAATCAAGTTATGTTTGTCTGGTTTGGTGCAGTTCAGTATTTACTCAAAACTGTAGTTCTTTCAGAAATTATTTCTTCTGTTTCTTAAACTACTGTATCCTATTGCCTTGATAGATCGTTTATAATCGTTCCAAAACGGAGTTAAAACGTCTGGAAAAAGACAGTGAACAGCTACATAAACGAATTGAAGAACTGAAAAGCTGGTAAATACAGATACAGTGATTATGGTATATGTTTATTAAGATCTAGGTGGAAAAGAAGTGAGCTTTTCTGATTAATGAGAAAAACTGCAGTGATAAAAAATATTTATTTAATCTTTAGCAGGGTCCAATTAAATACCTGAATATTTCTGATCCTGCTTCTTTACATACCAAGATTTTACCTAGAATGTCAAAAGAAGAGGCAATTGGGTAACAAAAATGGGGTTTTTTTTGTTTGTTTTTGGGTTGTTTTGTTTTATTTTGTTTTTGGTGATAATAGATATTCTCTAGCTTCCATGATGGTGCAAAACAAATATGTCTTAAACTAAATGCAATAGGAATATAACTGGGAGGAGTTACATGTGATTAGAAATTAAAAAAAAATTCATTATTGCTATGTAGATCTTGCAACTTAACAGAATCTTAAATGTAACTGAATGAGTAAATCTTCTGTATGCTACAAGTAATGAAATTCATGTCATGTAAATAATCATTATGGTTTTAAGATATGGATGTATGTTCTTTTTCTAGTGCTAATCAGGATTCAGAGCCTGAGAAATTGGAAAGACAAAGGAGAATTGCATACTTAAGGGAACAGTTAAAGGCATTCCACAATGAAGAAATAATGATTGGTCAGCAGATGGATCAATTTCAGCAGGCTGTATCTAAGTGTAAGGAAGAACATTCTAGACTCAGGTAAGTTATGCTTTTTTTGTAATTGTTTACCTCTGTTTCAAGTTAGAGAGAATCCTTTCTTTTCAGTATCCCTTCTAATGTACTTGTGATCCCTGAGGTGTTAGGCTCCAGTTTCTTTTTCACATTATAAGAGAATAGATACACTTAGGAGTAATTACTGCTTGTATAGTTAAGGCAGCAGATTCACAGAGGCTTTGAGGCAAAGTGGTTCAAATACTAATTTAGGGCATACCCAAGATAGGAAAAACAAAGCACTCTGGCTTTGATTTGGAAACCTGAATTTGAACAATGATTACTGAAGGGGATTATGGCAATGTCAGTTGTTGTATTAAAGGATTTGAGAATTGTTCCTTATTGCACCTGGTGTATTAATTTAAATGCCTCTTATCAATTACTGTAACCAGTGCATACTGTATGTTTTGTTGAAGATCTTTGAAGACAGTGAAATTGAAACATATAATTAGAAATAAAATAAATTTATTATAATTTGTTAGAAATAAAAACGTCTTGTAGAACTGTTGCAAAGTAGTAATTTTCTCTCTTGCTTTTTTTTCCTCATGTTTCTTCAAACTATAAAATTATTATTGCATGTGTGCACCTAGCTTTACATTGAACTACTGATATCTTGATACACAATGCTATTAGTAATTGCAAAACAGGGCTTTATAATTATTTTAGTGCACTTTAGGCTCCGTAAATACAGAAAAAAAAATCTGTTATCTTAGGAGAGAAAGCAGTGAAGTGCAACAAGCACTGGATGCCCAGCAGAAACAGCTGAGAGACCTGAAAGATAGTAAAACAAACACTTTGAAAAGATTTGGACCACATGTACCAGCATTTCTTGAAGCAGTTGAAGTAGCCCATAGACAAGGACAATTTAGAAAGAAACCTCTTGGACCTTTAGGTAAGAATAAGTTCTAAAACATATTTTTTCATGGGATATTTTTGTACTGCTAATATAAATAAATAGTGGCCTTTTAGAAAACTTTGTTCTTTGAGGAACTTCAGATATATCTTTTTCTTCTGTACTTCCTGGACTAAAGGTTTTACCTGGGTAGGTTATATTTTGCTTCTGTTATACACTCACTAACAGCTACTGGCTTTCCTCATTTTCCAGCTGTTTTTGTTGAGGTATTTTACAATGGTAAACTTTTGGTCCATCCCTCCAACTCCCCCACATCCTCAAGGCATCAGAGAACTGTGCTTTGACTGCTTGTTCCTCAGTGGTTAGCACTGTCCAGGTCTTGGACAGATTTTGTTCAAAATGCCCAGTGGCTGACTTGTGGGTTTTTCAAACTTGAGATGTTTTATGTGGAACTGGTCAGACAGACCCAACTGAGATTTTGCTGGGAATCTGGCTGCTAGTTGTCTTCTGTCCAGCTCTGACAATGGCTATTATTTTCAGTTTGTGAATGGAAGGAAAGGTTTCAGCATGTTCTGGAAGTAATGTGCATGGCATATACCGCAGGGTAAAAATATGTGCTACTGTAGACAGTTGATATAATGGAAATCTTCATGTTTGTTTAATTTTCAGTATAGTTGTTCCACAGCCTGCATCCTTAAAGCATTACATTGTTGACAAGCTATCTTTGCCTTGATACATTTCTGCTAAGCTGCCACAAAATTGGTACCCTAATGGAAGAAAATACAGACCTGCAACTATGTGTAGGTCTCTAGGCAGAGAAATTATAGGTTTGTGTTCTCAGGTCTGTTGTAGAGTCTTTTAATTTTTAGTCAACCTCTTAATTTTTTTTTGTACCTATGAGAAGGGTTTCTTTTAGGCTCTTAAAAAAGCCTGCAATACAACGAAACAAGAACCTTGAGTGGTAAAAATGCTCTACTGAATGTTTTGTTATGGAACACAGCACCTAAAGCCTTGCTTCTTATGTTTATTTAGGTGCTTTGATTCATCCAAAAGATCCTGAACTGATCTTGGCCATCGAATCCTGTTTAAAAGGCCTCCTTCAGGCATTTTGCTGTGATAATCATAGCGATGAAAGAACTCTCCAGTTACTGATGTCAAAATATTATAAACGTGGACATAGACCTCAAATAATTGTAAATAAATTTCAGAATAGAGTTTATGATACTAGTCAGAGGTAAGTATGTTTTCAATTTTGTTGCTTAGCCTTGATGGTTTAAAATGACTATTTGTAATTTTTTTTTTAAGAATCTCATGTGAGTTTTATTAATGGTTGGTTTTTTTCTTTTTTTCAGAGGTGTTTATCATCCAGAATTCCCATCAGTTCTGACAGCATTGGAAATAGACAATCCAGTGGTTGCCAATTGTTTGATTGATATGAGGGGTATAGAAAGAGTCCTGCTAATTAAAGTAAGGCTTTATGCTTCCTGTTGTCTAAGTAATGCGTAGAGCATTTATGATGTCTTCACTAGTAATGTCTGTAATGGATAAAAGAGGTAGAGGAAGTTTTGCTCTCCTTTCTGCCCCATGTGTTTCAGGACCTTCCCTGTTTGTTTCTGGGTTGCCACTACCTTTCTGGACCTCTAAGTGGTGTAGTTTCCCAGTCTAAATAGTCCATGTTAGGAGACAGAGCCTCCTAACTGCTGGCTCTGTCTCATGTCTCTGTTAATTGGTGGGTTCAGGATGTGCTGCTTTTAGGTAGTCCAGGAGTTACCAAAATTTCCAACTACCCCTACCAGTTGTGCCTAGCAGCTGGTAGCTAAATTTTCTGACGCTATCTGATTTCTGCTCTTAATTGATTTTTGATTTTCTGTTAGTACTGGAGATACCAGCTCCTGCAGATAAGATTACAGGTAAAATGTTGTATATGTTTTTATTTAGAGAAGGCAAGGTGTTCTCTAAATAAGCAGAACTAATGATCCTTACTTTTTGTGAATTTTACTTTTCTCCAAAATCTCTTGTCCCAGTTTATCCTCTGACATTCTTACTTGAAAGAGGCAGTTTGTGTTTTGTCTAAAGAAGAGCTAACTGTTTATCAAGCATGGCTGCCATTGAGTGGGTTACATGACAGCTGAACTTTGTAGGCTTTTCTTATGGCAGGAATGTTGGGATTGTTCTTCTTCTGCCTGAACTAACCAGTGATTTTCATAACATTATTATCTTTGAGCCCTAACTGAACAATTTCAACTAAATCTCAAAGTATTCTGTGGAAAAATTGATACATTGGAATATATAATACAATTGCCTTGGACAATGGCACTTGTGACCACTTAGTCTGGCACTGTCAATGTTGGGTTTTTTTGCCAACCTGTTTCCCTGAACTTTAGTTTAATATTGTTTGATATCTTTCATACCTTGCTTTGGAAGCTTGTTTCCTCTATGTTTATTTTGCTTTTGACAGTTGAATATATCTGTGCATAGTAACCTTCTGGTTAGTGATTTTTTTTCTCCAAGGCAAATTCTAAGGGGCTGATTAGACTACAGAATGACCAGTTAAACTTAGTGGGTTCTTGAGAACATAAATGTCCTACTCAGCTAAGAAAAGTAGATCCTTGACATTACAGGTAATTTTCACATTTTTCTTTTCATTAGGAATTGAAATTATTCCTGGGTGAAAACATCTAGACAGCTTTTAAATTCTCACCTTAAATTAGGGTTGCATTTCTGCTGGTATTATAAGGCCCTTTTGTTTTTCAGAATAACCGGAGGGCTCGTGAGGTAATGCAGCACAATCGGCCCCCAAGAAACTGTAGAGAAGCTTTCACTGCTGCAGGTGATCAAGTATTTGAACGACGCTATTACTCTTGCAATTCTTCCAGACCCCAGCTCCTAAGTCAAGATGTTGAAGCAGAAATCAGGTTAGCATCTTGTAACGTGTTTGTAAAAAGTGTGCTTGTTGGCATGAGTAGTGGAATATATTTGTCTATTTGCACATACACTACTCTATAGCCTCTTCATTTTCTTTCTGAGATTTACACTTCCTTTCTGAGAATTCTAGAAAACCTTTTAATTTCAGTGCCTTTTTCTGATAGGAAAAACCTTGTGTTGTATTTAGTTATCTTTCAGCTTGTGGCATGTATATCTTACCCACCAAGCAGGGATTTTCTGTGCTCAGTACTCCAGGAAATCTAGCTACCTTCTTTTTTATGCTTGGTTAAAAAGTGTATGGAGTCAAGGCTGTTTCTTTAAAAATATGATACTTGAACACTGATGTTCAGCCAAAGTTGTTAGCACACATCCTCCTGTTGGTTTCAAACTTTGCATCTGTGTTTCCTCAGGCTTTTGACTTCATTCATGGTGGGTGGCTTTGAGAATTCCATCACTTTTTATGATTTTAGGGTTTTTTTTCTCTCATTGCTTTCAAAATGTTAGTTGAAAAAGCAAAATGTACTTCAAAGATTACAAACTTGAGCTGTCACCAAGGAAATTTGTGATAATAGAATAATTTCATTTTGAGGCTCAGATTATATTAGAGACATATTAGGCAATTTTAGTATTAATAGTTGATAGTATAAACTGAATTGAATGTTAAAATTTACTTCTAGAAACTCAAAAGTTTTAAATGTGTCAGTTAATTGTAGTTTGTTCATATCAGTATATAATAAATTTCACTCAAAGATTATTTTAACTTTCAAAGTGTTACAGGCATTCCAGTACCAATTTTGCTGTGGGGGAATGATGTAGGCTAGTTAAAAAGGAATGCATTTTTACCCTTTGTCTTGTCATGCATGTAATTTTTTTTGTGTATTTCTGCATGTGTTTGTCACAAATAATATATGTGTAGTATGTAACATTTCGATATCCCTTTGTTTATAAAGTCACTTGGATAACGAAATTGAAAACAAAAGGGCACAGTTGACAGCCTCTCAGCACCGCTTACGTTCCATTGAAAATGAGATTAGGCAGAATGAAGATCATCTCTATAGTCATCGGCGACACCAAAAACAACTACAGGTAAAAATAGGTACAGTGTTAGTTTTTAGAAACTCCTCAGTCTTTCCCTATTTTATTTTGACTTCTGCAATCTATCTGGAGTGCCTAATAGTTGTTAATTTTTATCCTTACTTTTGTTGTTTGCTTTCATGTTTTGTTTTCGGTTTTTTTGTTTGTTTTGTTTGTTTTGTTTTGTTTTGTTTTGTTTTGTTTTGTTTTGTTTTGTTTTGTTTTGTAGTAGGCTCTTATAATTAAGGACAGAATTATAGAGGCCAAATCAATCCTTACATATGCTGTTATTTCTGTTTGGTATCTTTCCCCATCTTGTGCTAAATCTTACATATTTCTACTGCTTTTTAACTGATCTTGATACACTGAATATTTCTTCTTTAAGTTCTCTTAATTTTAATTTGTTTATAAACCATTTTACAGCTGTTAGCTTCGTTTCTGTGGTCTATGGTACTTCTGGGTAGGATATATATTTGTGGTAGCCAGTGGTCCTCTAGGTAGGCAGTGTAAGCTAATACACACTTGTCATGATCTGCTAGTGCAAGCAGGAGTCGTGATGGTTCATTTTACTGATCTCTGAGTGCAAAAACAACACAGAGGGGATTTTTAATATTAATTAAAGCAAATGCACCTTTTACTGAGTGTCCACAGCAAATGTGAGAGAAGGATTAGAAAGGAGATAAGGGATAGCGAGAGAAAGAGAAAGAGGGGAAGGGAAATAGCTACCAACAGAGAGATTAAATCCTCATGGTCCGGCCAATAGATCCATCTTGTCACGTCGGGGAGAGTCTCAGTCTTTGGTTGACTCTGAGGTCTTTATAGTCTTGAGGTGGGGGAGGGAACAGGACGGTTCCAGAGAGAGAACAGGTACAGGACAGTGGACATGCCGTCCAGTTCCAAAAAGGACAAACCAGTCCCAGCAGTGAGCAGGACCCATTGTTTCTTGGTCCAGCAAACACACCTGCAGGCAACACTTGGCAGACATCCCACTTCAGTCAGGCAAGCGCCCCTGTGTTAGAATTTTAAGGGTCTCAGTCTCAGTCCTTGGTGAGGGGCTTTAGTCTCCATCCTTGATGGTAGTTGTGAGGCAGATGAGGGATCTTCCATGGAGGATCATCTGGCCAAGAGGTGGGGAAATTCATGGGCTATTGTGATGAGCAAGGATCGTGATGCAGGTGCAAGTGTACAGAGCAAGCTGCTAATTGCCAGTCCCTACTCAAAGCAGTGTAGCGTGGCAGCACAGCAAGCACATCTGCAAACAGTCACTTGGCAAGTGTCCACCTCAATCAGGCCAGAGCTCCAGTCAGGGTCTTCAGAGTCTTAGTCTCTGTCCTTGCGACGATTGTGAGGCAGATGAGGGAAACTTTGGACTGTCTCTTACGATACTATAAAAGATTATATTCAGTAAATAATAAGTAAGAAGCAGAAAAAAAACCCCTAGCATGTAGTCTGAAATGCTGAAGATAAATACTTGGAGAAAAAATAAAGTGTATTTTGTTAAATTGTCATATTGAATGGAGATATGATAACTTAATGAATTAAAACACACGACTTTTAGAACAAGTTATGTCTCATGAAAATGAATTCCACAGGTGGGTGTGAAGAGTTGTGTCTCTTGTTAGTCACTAATGAAGCTGAAAAATACAAGTATCTTTCCTGTGATGACTTAAATGAACAAATGTGAACTTTTCTCCTTAGGTAAGCTTCAGAACATGTATTTTCTTTTTCTTCCCAGGTAAAAGTAAGAACAGCAAATGCAGAGATAGCAGATCTTGAAAATGTGGAAGAGCACCAGTCAGCGGACATCCATATATTAGTAAGAATAGATTATGCAATTATGTCTAACCTGTGTATGGATAATATCTTTTAATGATGGCAATGTTTTGAAACAAGCAAAGATGGATAGTGAAGAATTGAACACGTGCCATAATTCTAGACACATCTGTAAATTGAGTGATTTTATTTATTTTTGGCGATTTAAATTTTTTTCCCCAGGTTTTGCAATATTTGTCTTTTTGAATCAGAAAGTATTTATGATGATAATTCATTAGGAATGATGTTATTTTCTAGGAGACAACAACAATCCACTTACTCTTCCTGCATTGCATTGTATATTGGATGTATATTGGCCACAGATCCAGAGGGAAGTTGCCTTGTTCTTTTCAGTCTTTCATCACAACTCCGAAATAAAATCCTCTTAATTTTCAGTCACATAAGTATGAAGTTCCACTTTTACTTTGCAGTTTGATTTAGTGGTCTCCTACAAGAGCCATCAGTCTCTTCCTTTGGACTTTAGTGACAATTACATTGAACTGCTCCTATACTAGAGTTATAGAGTACTTCAAGTAATACTGTACCCTAATACTGATAGTAAAAAAATCTGTAGTAGTTTACAAATGTGTCTCCTTTTATTATTCTTAACTTTAATACCTTTTGACAGCAAGAAGAAGCTGAAGAAAATAAGGGTAGGATGGAATCTGTAAAACAAGACATGCAGCTACAAAGCAGAAAAGTGGAAGAACTGAAAAATACTCTCCAAGCAGCTGAAAAAAAATTAGAGGAAGTGAAAGAAAAAATTCATCAAGTAGAAGAAATTGCTGGCCCAATTAAGGTAACAGTAATTTTATATTGTATTTTCGATTTGTTCCATTTGTGTGTCAAGGTGAATGCGGTTAAGAAGAGGTGAGTCAGGAGAAGAGAACTTCTTGTTGCCTGATATACTTAATGTTTACCTAGAGAATGGAAATGGAGCATTCCATCTAGAACATGTTGGAAAATATGCTTGGCAATATTTTGAAGGTGATGTTGATTGTTACAAGTACTCACTGTAGTGTTTTATGTTTAAAGAGAGTTCATTTTGAGGTATCTTTAGTCGTGGAGTGAAAAGGCAAGAAAAACGGTTTCCTTGACTTTCCTTTCTCATGCATCACATTTGTTGTTTTTACTTGTTTGTTTCTAAGAAACCTTGGCTAAGAGTGTTCGTAACTGTTCATTTCTCTAAATATAATTTGAAATTCTAGATGAATTGGTTGTTATTTTATGAAGTTACATAATCACAGAAGGTACCAGCATATAGTTTTAATTATTCAAGACTACAGAAGGCACCTGGAAATGGCAAAGAAATAGCAAGACTTAAGATAAATAGCAGAATGGTGACATGCAAAATTTGATATTAGCAAATAGAAGGCAATCTCACTTTGGCAAGAAGAACTTACAGTTTGAAAACAGAAAACAGAAATAAGAGTTCAGGACATTTCTAGTACTTTAAACTTGTAGAAGGATGAAATAATGAAAACTTAAAAGATCACTATGGGAATCTTTTACACGTCTCACTTAAACTGTAAATTGCTGCGTAGTCAGCCCAAATTAAAAGAGCAAACAAAAAGAGAAAGGAAACAGGGCAGCAAAGCAACAGATAAATGTGTTAGTTCTAATGTATCTAATATGGAAGTTCTAAAAACATGATCTATTTTAAAAGAACCACTCTGTATGGTAAGAGATTTATTCAGAATATGAAAACATTATTGCTATTGTTATTTAGAGTACTGAACACAGATGAGGGAAGCACTGAAATTCCTGAAGAGGTTTTAAATCGGATGTGTTGTTAAGTGTCCTACAGTTGTTTAATTAACTCTTGACATATAGCACGTTGTGGTTTTAAGATAGGATTGGAAAAAAGTAAGAGCATATGTTACTGTTGGTGATGGTTGGTTTTTGTGTTTGTTGTTCTGGGGTTTTTGAGTTGTTTCTTGGTATTTTTCTGTTTGGTTTGGTGTTTTTTTATTTTTGTTAAGACAAGCCATCTAGTTGACTGGGATGAAGAAGAAAATAGCCCTAATTTATGTAATTCTTTATGCCTCTTTGCTTCTCTAGAAAGATATACCACTTCAACAGTATCAATACTGACTAGAGGTTGCTGGTGAAGGGTCTGGAGCACAATGCCTGTGAGGAGCAGCTGAGGGAGCTGTGGCTGTTTAGCCTGGAGAAAATGAGACTCGAGGGGGACCTTACCAGTCTCTACAACCACCTGAAAGGAGGCTGTAGTGGGGTGGGGCTCAGTTTATTTCCCTGGGTAACAAGTGACAGAAGGAGAGGAAATGGCTTCAAATTGTACCAGGAGAGGTTTAGTTTAGATATGAGGAGAAAAATTTTCATGGGAAGGGTTGTAAACCATTGAATCAAGCTGCCCAGGCAAGTGGTGGAATCACTGTCTCTGGAAGCATTCAAAAATGTATGGCTGTTGTACTGGAGGATGTGATTTAGTGGTGTGTATGGTGGTGGTTTTGGGTTGTTGGTTGTGCTTAATGTTATTAAAGGTTTATTCCAACCTTGACTATGCTATGATTCTATGATTTTATATTACAGGTATAGCAGGACACTGAATTTTCACACAGAAGTGCAGTTCTGGCTGATGCCACACAGGCATCAGAAGTTCCAGATAGAATGTAGTGTAAAAAATAAATGCAGTTTTTTGAACTTTAGGATAAAGTATAGCTTTTTTTAAAGATTAAAACATCGCCTCAAGATACAATTGCTAAAATCATTGCATGTATTTGTTCCTTTTTGGAATTAAGCATAAACTTCCTCATAAGCTGCTGTTAAAGCTCCCAGACTCTAGAAGTAGTGTTCCTGAAAGCAAAATAAGGTAGAACAACCTGTGAGAAGTCAGTAAACACTAGAGAGATTCACAGGAATCTACCCCAAACAGCTCACCTCATGATTTGTCCCAAACAGGCTGAATTAAACCAGGCTGAGTCAGAAGTGGAAAACAGTAAACGCCATTTGCAGCACTATGAAGACAAACAGAGAGAACACGTTGCTTGCATAAATAAGCACAAAGATTTACTTGTTTCCAAAGAAAAGGAATTAGAGGTATGTGTGGTGAGGTTTTTTTAGCCATTGAAGTCAGATGGTCATGATTCTTCTAATATTTAATAATAAATCATTCCACTTGTATAACATACAGACCATATTCATATACTCAGCTGCACTGAATGTTCTCTCAGCTATGTCCTACACTGACTGTGTAAAGCAAGTAAAGTAATTTTGTGTAAATGAATTGAGGCCTCTTTTTTGATAGGACACCAGTTCTCTCTTGACAGATAAATTAGGGTTCATCCGTCTAGGACCATTTCTTCTGTCTTTTGCAATGAGAAGATTAAAATGACTTAAAATTTGTGGCTTAAGTTAAATTGAATAATATTGTTTTGGTTTCTTGGATGGTGGGGCTTTCCTTGTACAGGCCCCATATCTGGTCTTCTACCCTATTTAAATATGGTGATTTTGAATCCTTATTTATCCGCATTAACTAAATAACTGTGACTGCACTAAAAATCTTGGATACAATTCTTGGCACTGAAATAACAACCCATGTATAAATGTTGTCAATAAAATTAACTGGGTTTGCTGTAATGAAAACAGAAAGAACAGAAAAATATTGTTCTTGCTTGGAGTTTGTAGCACATAATACTTTTTGTGAAGACTAAACAGATTTTTGAAAAATGTGGCAATTATTTGAGTTTCAAACATTCCTTTAGGAAAAAATGTCAAAAGCAAGGCAAATCTTCCCAGAGCCCATCAAGGTCAGCAGAACTGTTAAAAGTCTTGATGCAGAAATGAATCGCTTGAGAGAGAAGATAAATTTAGAAAGCAGTCACCGTGGAAACAGAGAAGAAATAATACAGTAAGTCATCTTTACTGTCTAAAACACTTCAGGTAGGATGGAAAAGAGAGGGGAAAGAAGTTTTCTTACTGACTCACTGTGTGTTTATGTGTGTTTTTACTACTTAAGCTATCTATGAAGCTGTAGAAATGTTTTGTACTGATTCTCCCAGTACTGAACAGGCGTAAGAGTCCTGAAATACCTTCCAGTGATTTTAAGCAACATCTGTGCTATATATATGATGTTACCAAAAATCAGATATGCTCTTAGTGTTTTGAAGTATCCCAGTTACAACAACGCAAATTTAACTGACCATTGTTCTGTGATGCATTGAGGATTAAACATAATTCTAGTCTGAGTAACTAAGGCACAACCTGGAAGCTCCTTGAGTGTATTTCAGGGAAGCACTCCCCTCAGATATTCTTGAGCATGGAGAAACCAATTATTCATTCTTCTTGGGGAAAGAGTTTATTTTCAAAAGAATTAAAAATAGAATTAAGTCTTAATTTTTGTCTGCATTTCATTGTGAACAGTGTCTTACTTATCAAATGCTTTTAGCTTTGACTTTCAAGAAAGTTTTCATTTGAATATTTTGGTTATCAAAATGATTTTCAGCATTTACAGCAATAGCTCAGTTTTAATACAGTGCATATTACTCCTAACCTTTCTGTCAATTAAAACAGGCAATTTCATTATGCAAAGGAAAGATACGAGGATGCAAGCAATAAAGTGAAGAACTTAAGGAGATTTATTGCAGTGCTGGACGAAGTAATGACAGAGAGGCTCAAAGTGTATCGGCAGTTCCTAAGGTGAGTTTAAGACAGTTCACAACAATCTTTTTAACCTAAGCTTGCTCTCAGTTTCAATCTTATCATTCCTGAGAGTTTAGAGGCAGCCTGGATTGATAGCTGGAAAAGCAGTGAGATAGTGGAGCCTGTATTTTGCTTCATCCCAAAGATCTCAACTGTGTTGACTTCATCCAAGGCAGTTCTGTTTGAATTCTGGTGTTGGTCAGTAAAATGTCAGCAACATATGAGGATTTGAAATAATCTGGGCTGTCACTCATTTTTATTGATTATAATCAGTGGTGCTGAGCTCCTATAATTTCATTTTAGGCCAAACAATTCTCCCCTGCTGTGTGCTGAAAAATTTTAAGGTGCTGATTCAGAGTCTATAATTTAATAGCTTCTTCTCCATTACTGTGTACATCCCTTCTTTCTTGCTTCAGTCCCTTAATATCTTATACCTATCCATGAAGATTTTGTTGTTGCCTTCATTCAAAAGGATTCTCTCCAGTATGTGTAATGTTGTCCACTTGAGAATGCAGTTGATTTTGGGAGAATGTTGTTATTGGAGGAGGGCTTAATAGTTAATGATGCGGAACTGTTGATGAAAATCTGTTGTCACTTTTTCATGTATTTAAAAACTTGCTCCCCTAATGTTTGTTTGCTTGATTTAAGGAAACTTTCTATGCAATGCAAACTCCACTTTGAGCAGTTATTACGTCTTCGAGGTTACTCTGGACATATAATGTTTGACCACAAGAATGAGACAATTTCCATAACAGTAAGTTATTTTATATTACTTCGATTACTATAATACATAATGAATTATTATCTGTTTTAGTCTCAGATACTAGAAATGCATTGCAAATGATAGAATAAATTGTTTTTCCTTCTGCAAAATGTGATACACTAAGTTGTAGTATTATAAATATTCTGATCAGGTAATCAATGTAATCATATGAAAGAGTTAGTTATGATTACAAGTAGAAAATTGTGAAGTATAAGGTATAGAAATGGTAGGAGTGTTATGCTTGAAATATGCAGCCATAAGAACCTCACCAAGAAATTGCTGGACTTCTGTGTTTTGGTTAAGGAACTATGAAGACTGTCATGCCCACCAGTTATGCTGCTTGGTTTTAATATCAACTATTCGTTTTAATATCAATTATTGCAATCAGTAGATCTCAGCAGAGATGAGCAGTGATTGTTTTATGATAAGAATACTGATGGAGTTCTATAACTAGCAAAACCAGTCATTGCATGGGTTAAATTTAAGAGTGAGCATATTATGTATGCATAGTATGTAAAAGAACTTATGTAACAATGATTCAGCAGCAAAAATAAGTAAAAATGGCTAGATTTTGAGCAGGACACATTGGAAGAGTTTCCAAAAGCCTCAGTGAAAAAGTGTCTGCTTAATCACATCAAACTTATCCAACACTTATCCAGAGTGTTGGATAAGTTTCTTTTGTCCCATTTGGTGACAGTAGGATGTTGTTGAAAACAAGCAAGGACAGAAAACATTGCCATTTTAAATGGTTGCTGGATTACAAGGAGTAAATGTGAATTGGTCATCCAGTCTTTCAAAATAACTTATTCCTGAATCATTGATAGGAAGTTCAGCAGTATTTGTGTGATTCTATAATGGCTCTAGTTGTTATTTAAACAATTTAATGCAGGAAAGCTTTGGTAGGTTTTTTCTGTGTATCTTTTAACATACATCCTAAAAGTTTTATCATGGATTTACTTACTTTTGTTTCTGTGGCAGACTTCAGTTTTAGGAATTAAGGGGAAAAATGTGCAGTAAGTAGTAACATAAATACATGTCACAGTCCTAAATAGACAGGTGAAGCAAGTGTATCTGAAGAACAAAACTCAGTCCATAGAATATCAAGTTATTACTTGGCTTTATCAGAATATATATTTTTAATAGCTGATGTCTCACATATCTCACAAAAGGGATATGTATTTAGTCAAGGAATTTAAGTTGCAAAAAGAAAACAATTTCCTGCAAAAAAAAGATTCTACTTCAAAATAATCCTTATTTGCCTACTTAACTCGTTAAAGGCAGTGCAATTAGCAGGGCAAGAAAATGCCCGAGTTTCATCTTACAGGAGTGCCACAAGATGTCGTCATAATCAATGTAACCAAATGGCTGTTCACAATGTTTCATGTATTCCATGTGAAGAACCCCTTCCTCATTTAAAATTCTTCTGTAAATCAATTACCTGCTTTTCTATTGTGGCTGGTAACCATGGGATTTTACTGTCATGTAAACATTTATGTTGACATTTATTAAACCCTGTGTAACAGCTATAGAAATAGACATTTGAATAATAAAACTCTAGCAGAGTCATTCAGTCTGTTCAGTGTGTATGACTGATAGAAGAAATTGCAGTGATCCTAGAAATGTGTTACTAAATGGTTAGGAGCCATCCCATTCCAGAATGGCAGTTGCAGTGAAATGCAGAGAAGTGTTTTCAAGTGATCTGTTCATGTATAATGTGTTTGATGTTAAAATTATGATTCTATTAGTATATCTTCATTTCAGATTTAAAAATTCTCCAATATTTTTATTTCAAGATTCAGCCTCGAGAGGATGAAAAAAGTGCCCGTAGTGATCTGAAATCCTTATCAGGAGGTGAACGTTCCTTCTCCACAGTTTGTTTCATTCTTTCTCTGTGGAACATTTCTGAATCTCCTTTCAGATGCATGGATGAATTTGATGTCTACATGGTATAGTTTAAACTTAAACTATATCTCCCATTCTGATTTGTATAAATTACCGAAATAGTTGGGTTGTTACTTATTTGATTAGATTGTATACTGTATATTATTAGATTTAAAACCACTATGGTTAACTGTAAATTATAAAAAGCCCCCAAACCAAAATCAAAACCCCCCAAAGCAAAATTTGTTAGTGATCTTGTTCACTTTGTTTGGTGACTTTTGAAGCTTAATGTGTTTCTGAGGTGGGTGTCCAGTAACATGAGCCTTTCTGTTAATTTATGTGTTCAAACCATTCTTCAGCACAAAATAATAAATCAGCTGGCTCTGTATTTGTCAGAGGTTGACTCTTGATATTGCTGGAACATTCTGGACTTGGCATGTGCTTTGATTTATTCCAATTTTGGGATCAGTGTGGGGTTTTTTCGGAGCAAATGTAGCAATTGGGTTCACTGTTGCTACTCATTTTATAGAAACTCATACTTCAGCTAAGAACATGTTTCCAAGATGTTGGAATGCAGAATAATGAACAATAGATACTAATGTTAGCTAAAACTGATAAATCATATTTTTGTGTACAGCTTCCCTGGACAGGCCACTAAGCCATTTTGAAATTTATTTTCTTTTTTTTTAAGATTTGTTTCCTACTTATTAGATATACAGGGTGGTATGAGTTTGAGAAAATATTTAGTTCTGTGAGATAAAGATTGGATGCTGGTTTATTTTATTTTGCCTCAGTGTCCCTTTCTCATCAATAATTTATTTACTAGAAATCACTTAGAGAGCACAAAGATAATATAGTTTCTATTAAAGAATTTGAAGAACAGTATGCATCTAAGGTAGTGAAGCAGTTGTTTTACAGCTAACTTTCAAATCTTAGATCCTCTTTTAAAAGTTAGTTGTGCAGAAGTTTATCCATCTTTCTGGAAAAAGATGACTATTCAGAAGTGGAGGCCTTGCAAAGACCTTGCATGTCATCTGTTCCGTAAATTATTCCACAAAATTTGTCTTTCCACCACCGTGCCAGCAATGCACCTTACTGTCCACACGTTCTGTAGTTAGTCTTGGTGAATCACAGGGCCCCACCACATGAGGACTCCATGGTGTGTTTTTGTGGGAGATCTCTGCTTTCCTGAGGATCACAGCAGTAGAGCTTTGTTGGTCCCTCCTGGTAACAGCTTCCTATTGCACATCCTTTTCAGTGAGCCTAATGCGTAAGGTTCCATTCCAAATATTAATAATCATATTAACAATAATAATAATAATAATGAAAACAAGCTCCATAATATAGGTTTCATGGAGCCCTTAAATCCTTTCAGGTGATCTTTCAGGAAGGATTTTACAGGAAATATTATTCTGCTAAAGTACAGTTCATCTCAGCATGCCAATGAAGTAAGAAGTATTGTATGCACATCAAAGATGATAGAAAAACACTATAAGTAGATTGATGTGTGATTTTTTCTGACAGAAGCATTCCATTGCCTATGTATGCTGAAAAGTAGAGTCTAAGAATTTCCCAGGCTATAATTTGTAGCTTTTAGATTTTTACCCTAATGTTTCTCCAGGTTTTCATAATTTTTATTAGTCTTATTTAGATATTTTTTTAGCCAGCCTTGACTGTATAGCAGTTAATTCTGAGAGGTTTTCTAGAATCATGCTTTCTAATGTATTTATTACTGTCAGTACCACTTCCTGACAAATATTTTGTCTTTAGGATATGGTTAACAGAAGAATTGCCGTTGACATGATTCTGGAGAGGGCTGATTTTCAGCGGCATCGACAGTTCATTTTGTTCACCCCCCTGAGCATGAGGTAATACTGCTGTGGTTTAGTTCAGGACAAGAATTGCAAGGGAGTTCTCTTGCAAGAATTGTAAGATGAAAAAGTTGAATGTGAGGAGAAAGAAATTTTGGTGTTTGTCACAGTAAAACATAAAAAATGAAGCACTTCTGTGAATTTAAAGGGGCTTTTTAATAAGTTTTTTTTACTTTTCCTTACATAGTGGTAATTCAGTGGGACTTGAATAAGTTTATCTGACATAAAACAATTTCTGGAAATGTTTCATTTGTCAAGCAGGCTCTTCTTAGCTTTGTATGTCACTCTCCTCTCCCAAAAATAACAAAAGACGTGCGATTTTTTTCTGTACTACTCTCAAGGGGTTTGTCATTTGATTTTATTTTCTGAGTTGTAATGTTGCTGCTCTAGAGACTCATAGCTTACACCATGTTTTAAATTTGTCATCTAGTGGTTCAAAATTATTTCAAAACCTTTATATAAAATTCTGGTAGAGACATGCCCAGTTTAAGGGGACGGTCATGTCTTTAACCTTGTGCAACCAACTCCTCTCTATTAACCCAGTGTAACTAGTAAAGCCTGAGAGGGTTATTCAAGCAGTCTTCAAAAAGAAGTTGATTTATTCCTAATTGACTTCCCTCACTAAAGTATATAACAAGTAAAGTAGTGGTATCTGTTGCTATTTCAGTGGAAATACTTTTGTGGAGATTTTCTGAATCTAGTAAACACACAGGATTTTTTTGTATGGTTACTGGTAAAAAATTAGTATTTCAAGTTCAGATTGAATTTGTTATATTTGTTCCATTTGTTATAATGTTCAATGTTTCAGCGGACATTAGATTTAAGAAAAATATGGGGGCAACTTCAGGAAAAATCCATTGGAGAAGCCTGTGTAAATTTATGTTCAGTAATTTTGCTCATTCTTAGTATGTTGTGCTTGATTACATATGTGTATAGTGTGTGGTACTTCAGTATCTGTAAGGCAAATCCTTACTTGTATTCCATCATTCGTTCATTTGGAGGTTTTTGTAAAATAACCTTTTCTGTAGTTAAGGCAGTCTAATTGTTAGAAATCACATGATTGAAATGAGCGCTTGTCTTTACTTCAAGCTTTTATTCAAATCAGGCCTGTGAAGCCCAAACTTCACCTCATGCTACTGTTTTTTTTAAACTGTCAAAGAAAAAAGGGGGAGTTATTTAAAGGAAAATATATAATGTAATGAATCAAATGGAAGTACTAAAATTCTTGGAGAAGAAACACTGTTTAAATGATGCATCCTTTATTTTTAGTTCGCTGCCTACGAGTCCCCATATTCGAATCCTCCGCATGCCAGACCCTCCAAAAGACCAAAGAACACTGAATTTCCAAAATAGGAATGACGGAGATGAAGATCAATAAGTATCTCTGTATGAATATGGTATTATATTGAAGACAAATGTGTAATAATATATGTAAAATTATTGCTTCCTGATACTGAAAAAGATAATTAATTGTTAGATACTCTCAGGAAGATATTTCTGTATTATTATTAATTATTTTTTAAAGGATTACTGTGTGTGCACAGAAGAATAAGCACAGTTTGGATGAGGAGAAAACGTTGAATGTTCTGTTGATATTTTTAGCTACCAACTTTAGAATTTTTTTATCTGTTGTTCTGATTTTTCTTCTGAAAAATTTGAAATATATTTTGTATAACTATGAAATAATATTTTAATAAACCGTTTGAACTGATACTTGTGGTAATGTTTTAGTGTCTCTACACACTTGAAATTAGCATTAAGTTACAAATACTGTTTTCTTCCTAGCTATACTTTATTTCTTAAATATGTGCTAATTAATACATGCAGTAAAATATGTTTCTGTTGTTTTCTGGTGAAACCACAGTAGCTGAACATGAGAAACTATTAGAACTTATACTTTCATAATTAGAAAAGGGATACATTTATATGTAGTATATTATCTTGGCAGGAAAATACTTCTTTCTTTCCTTTCCTAATGAGTTTGAGTGTCTTTGGACATGAGCTTACAAAACCTAACAAGCTGTGTCTTTATAAACCTAGATTCTTAATTCCGGTGAACTGGTTCTTACACATTCTTGAGTTTCCAGGTACAGAATAAGTATCTAAATATTAATTTTATTATCATAACCTAAAGAGACACAAATCTTTACAATATATAGGAATGAAGTAGAATTAGAACTTTAGGAAATAATATATTAACGTTTCTACGGCATTGTAGACATGTGTTTTATTTGGTCTCCCTGCCCTCTCTCCCCTCCCATGTTTCCGTGGGACTAGAGCACTTGAACTTGATTTGTTTCGATATTGCAAGCATTTACTGGGGACAAGAGGGAGGAAGAAGAAACAGATTTTTCAAACGCACTTAAATTAACCTTCTGTTCTTCTTATGTTCTTTTTTTTCTCCAGGAACTTGAAATTTTTGGCAGCTCTTCAGAAAAAAAACCATTTTTTAGAGTTCAGCTGCATTTCTTTTCTGTTGTTGTTTGATGATATGTGGCTACAAGAGCCATTGAGACTGCTCAGAGAACAACATTCAGCAGTTTGCACTTTTTTACTGAATAGCAGTTTGTCAATAAAAACTTGCTACAGTGTAAGTTTTAACTTGACTTTGTAGCGTAATTTGTTTTCAGTCGCAGCATGGTGTTAAACTTGTAGGTTTCTTTAAAATATGGAAGCTAGGTAAGACTTGAAGGAAATACACCTTATATAATCATGGGACCATAAAAAATGCTGAGTTGGAAGGGACCCATCAGCTGTGTTATGTTCCTAGTTGACTTCTGGCAAGTGGAAGTCCCGCATAAGGAGAAGGGCAGTTGAGCTGGCAGAGTCCCTTAGTTGCTCAGTGTCATCATCCTGGCTGGGAGGTCTGTAGTAGATTGCCAAGATGACCTTGAATTATTTGTATGTTGATTCTTAGAGGCTTGCAACTGTGCCATTGCCAGCTGTGGGCTCCATGCATTACGTCCCTGCCATGACTTACAATGCCACCTCGCCCGCTTCTGCCCTGCCCATCCCTCCTGAACAGCCGGTAACCATCCAGCAGGGCACTCCAATCACAGGACTAAACCCATAGTTTCACTTACACCAGTGATACCAAATCTCTGGGATTGGGCCAAAGGCTTGTGACAGTCTTGTTCCTCATGCTGTGTGCCTTAGTATAGAAACATTTCAGCCGTGGTGCTTTGCAGCCAACCAACCTGAAAGAGATGGAGGGATCCCATTCACTTTCTCAAGTCCTTGCACACCATGCCATCACTCCTCACTGGCAAGCCTGGTTTTGTCCCTTTCCTCCTTCCAAGCTAGTTTAAATTTCTGTCAATGAGCCCTGCTGGCTCCTGTGCTAGAGCTCATTTCCCCCTCTGAGATAGATGCATCTCATCAGGTGTCAATAGAGCAGGTGTTCAATAGATCATCTCATGGTAAAAAAACTGAAATTTTCTTGCTTACACCAGCCTTGGAGCCATGTGTTGGCCTGGTGGATCTGCCCATTCCTGTCAATATTACTCCTTGTTACCAAAAGGATTATGGAAATCGCTGTCTGCTTCTGATCCTTCAGCCTTCAACCCAAGGCCCTGCAGTCTCTTTAGATTGTCCTCGGAATTCTCTTTGGTTTTTCGTCACTGTTGGCTTGAACAACCAATAGTGGATAGTAATTAGAGGCCCTTACTAGATTGGAGAGTTTTCCAGTAATTTTTCTTATCCATGCCCCTGGGAGCCAGAAGAATGCCTCATGAGTTGGGTCTGGTCTGCATATCAAGGCCTCCCTCATCTTCCTCCCCTTAGAGGGACTCTTCTATTACTGCTAGCCTTCTTTTCCTGTTAACAGAGGAGGTCTTCATGTGGGGTACAGGAGGTGTTGCTTTAGGAGGCCCCTCTGTCCCAGTCGGACCTTCTCCCACCTCATTGTCTGACCTTGTTCCAGCACCTCATACCTGCTGTAGAAGATTCCAGTCTTACTTGTTTTCAGAAGGAGGAGGAGGAACCTCCTCCCAGTATGTGGAGTGACCTGCTTCCAGCCTTCATCTTGAGCAGACCCTTGACTAAAAGACCCTTGACACTACAGTGGAGGTGTGAGACTCCTGAGAGTCTTGATACTGTGGCATCTCTGTAAATAACCTATCTTGTGCTTGTTCACTTCAATACCACATAGCCTGTTCACTTCCTCCTGAAGCCCATTCACCTGGCAACAGCTCCTCAACCACAGCACACCTGCAAAAGAACTGCCTTGCAGGGTGGCATCAGGCACTCTGTGACCTGCACAGCTGCCTCTGCCCTCAGCACTGTCCAGAGGCCTCTGGCACAGCCGGTTCAGTGATCCAGCAGCTGCAGGGGAGTGAGCTCTACTCCATGTCATCCATAACTGGGGAAGCTTCCACTAGTACACAGATAGAGCTGGGGCTGAAGGGATCTTTTTGTGCTCTTCTTCACCAGGCATGGAGGCTGCTTGCCTCTACTGGCAGACCTCGGACAGCCCAGGGTAATGGGCAGACTCCCAGCGCGTGTGAGGAGGCTGCTGACAAAGAGGACCAGGCTTTTTGTTAATGTGCATGCTGCAAGAGACAAGACAGTGGTCATTGATTGAACTGGGGAGGTTCTGGCTGAGTAAATCAGGAGGGATTGTTCATGATGAAGGTAAGAGGTATTTGAGCATGTTATACAAAAAGGCTGTAAAATCTCTGTCCTTGGAGGTTTCTGGAGTCTACTGAATAGACTCCTGCATCTCCTTTGAGCAGGGAGCTGGGAAAGAGATCTGTGAAGGTCCTCGCCCATCTGAACAGTTCTATAATTCCATAATTCAAGATACTTTACACATTTAGGATTATGTGAAGATACTGAGGGGCACCTTACAAAGTTCATGCTTGGCAAAACTTGTCTGGAGCCAGCAGGTTGAGGGAGGTGATTCCACTGCTCTACTCTGCTGTTGTGACATCCTGCCTGGAGTACTGCCCCCAGGTCTGGGGCCCTCAGCATTGGAAGAGCATGGACCTGTTGGAGCAGGATCAGAGGAGGCCACAAAGATGCTCAGAGGGCTGGAGAGCCTCTGCTATGGAGACAGACTGAGAGTTGTGTCTGCTGAGTCCAGAGAAGGCTCCAGAAAGACCTCGTGACACCGTCCAGTACTTAAAGGGGCTACAAGAGAACTGGAGAGGGACTTTTTACAAGGGCCTGCAGTGACAGGACAAGGGAGAGTGGATTTAAACTGACAAATAGTAGATTTAGATTAGATATTAGGAATAAATTATTTATTTTGAGGGTGATAAGGAACAGGTTGCCCAAAGAAGTTGTGGACAGCCCATCTTTGGAAGTGCTCAAGATCAGGCTGGATGGGGCCCTGGGCAACCTGTTTTAATGTAAGATATGCCTGCAGGGGGTTGGAACTGAATCATCTTTAAAGTCCCTTTCAACCCAAACCATTCTTTGATTCTCTAGGACATGATCATGAGCCACATGCCGAGCTTGACTCTATTTTATGATGAAATCGAAGTAGGTTTTCGGCCTTTTTACAGTATGAGGTAAAATGGCATTGCATTATTTCCTCCTGATTCTCTTCGGTATCCAAAAAAAAAAAAGGCAAGATTGCAGAGGCAGGAAAGAGTAAAGCATTTATCTTCATTAGTCTTCTATAATTAGTTGTGTGGAGAAAAGAGATTAAGGAAAATTAATGCATTCCTACTGAGTTTAACACTTTAGCTTTCTCCCAAGCTTTTATAGACTCACTTGAAATATTGGAGGAGATGGCAACAATTCCGGTCTTTCGTTCAAATCAGTACTTTGTATTTATTCTAATCTACCACTAATCTACCCTTAATCTATCTTCATCAAGTACAATGAAGATGTGTTCCTGACTGTATCATTATTATAAGCATATTAGCATGGTGGAGAGTTAATTCTGAATAAACAATTACCGAAGCCTTTGCATGGATGCACTTATTTTTGCAGTGATCCTACTAAGGTCTCAAAACTATCATATTCTTTGTTCTTTAAATACAGTTTACTGTAGTGGCTACCTGTAGAGAATATTGCAGTGCTGATGTTACATTTTTGAGTTTGACTGCTTGAGTTGCTGGCCATTTTGGATTGCAGTGCATTGCGTAATGCTGCATTAAAGTAAATGGAACCTGTCTAGCTACATAAATTCAAGCTGCAGGGAAACACAGAATGAGAAATTGCTTCTCATATATGTAAACCAGAGGCATAAAATCTGAGAAGTATTCAATGTGGGCATATCATTCTCAGAAGTATGTAATTTCTAGAATGTGCATTTTAAGTTACAGCCAAACACATGAAGCATACTTTTCCCTCATTTGCTAAGGCTATTATATGTGTAGTGTAATTAAAATTCCGATGTAGAAAATATGGTTGACATTTCTGATTTTGCTGTTTGGAATAGAAAGCAACCAAAAAATGATAGTATGGCTGTGGTTCTGGCAGCAAGGGATTCTGTGATTCCCCTCCACAACAATTCTTAGCAAGCTGTGTAAAACTGCATTTTGTTGCTTGTTGGTTTTTTTTCCCATTAATTTTAAGATGAGCTTTGCTTTTTAAATTTGAAAATACAGAGAATTATTTGATTTATGTCATGTTTTATTGTTTGATTTTTAGCTATTAAAAGTACGGTCTTGTTTTTTCATAAGGTAAGGAAGAAATATCAAACATGCAATTGTAAGGTGTTCAGATTGCTTTTTTTTTTTTTTTTTCCTTTTAATCCAGCAAGCAATCGACTGTTTAAAGCATCAGGGAAATGGGGCATAGGAAGGTTTTTCATCTGCAGTTTCTGCAGTCTGATAGTTCTTCATTCTTTTCCAAGGCTGTGCAGAATTTGTAACAGGATAGGGAAAAACTTGATTTGTGCACATAGAATTGAAGAGGAAGTTGGTTCTCGTCACTATCCCTCCTTTATCATCATACTTCATAGTTAATTTATCAGTAGTGATTTTTAACATCATGTCTGCTTATATTAAACACAGAATAGTTTAGTGTCAGATGGTAAGAGGGAAATCTCTTACTTCAGGCGGGAAAAAACATTAAGAACCAGGTTTAGGCCAAGCAAATAAACTGTATTTCACTTACACAGCTTAAAAATCAGCACAGGTATAGTATCTGTGCTGGTAAAATTAGCAGTAGCATCTTAGAGTACCAAAAGCTGCTCCAGCCTTAAATACAAGAACTGCAACTTTTGGTTTTGTATAATATGACTCTTCTAGCAAGTGAGTGTAAAGTAGTTTTCTTCATGCTTCAGTAATGAAATACATATTTCCCAGTGTGCAGTGACGGATAATTAAAGAGATTGAACTTTTTCTTTTTTTATTACCATGCTGAAGACATTAAATAAGAATTAGGGGAAAAGGTCAAATGTTATAAATTTATTTTGGGACATATATATTGCAACCTCTGTGGAAGCTTTTGAAAATTCTGGCAAAGATCAATACACTTCCAATAAAACCTTTAAACTTGCAATAAAACAATATTTTAAACATTATATATATATATTTATATATATTCTTAATTAAAGGGTTAATTTTAGCAGGATTTTCTTTTTTTTTTTTTTAATATACTGCATTCCTCTGACATAGCTCTTTCCAGATTTAAGGGATGCAAATGAGGTAAGAATTAAGGCAAACCTAAAAGGCATGCAAATGAAGTACATTTATATCCACTGACAATACAAGCACGTGTGGATCAGACTTGGGAGCCAAGAAGCTCTTCCCTTCTGTCTGTCCAGTACTACTTTACAGCAGAATGGTGACATGATTTATAATAAACAGTTAACATTACCATGGGAATTCAGTGTCACTAACATTACTCAGTCTAGGAGACACAGAGCTAGCATCAGTAAAACATGAACAATAAATAATATAATTCACTGCAGCACAGGCCTGCTGCACAGGATTCAGAGGAAGAGGGTTGTTATGAAATGACATTGCACGCATCACGTTGTGGCAGTTTATTTTTATAATATATACTTTTAAAATTCTTTAGCAAATGACATTCTCATGCACACAAGTGTTTCAAACACAAGAAGCAAGTCCATTTATAGGTAGTCCAAGCAAATTTTTGTGTGTGTGGAAATAGCTGCAAACTGAATGGAACATTAAACTTCTGTGCAGTCTATGACGCATTGTACACAAGCTCATTTTTGAATGTCACACTGCAGGAGTAATACAATGGACGGATCACTCTTTGCAGCTTCTTTGAACTCATCCAGTGTGATCTGATCGTCTTTGTTCTTATCCATCTTACTGAAGATCTTGTCTACCCGTTGCTCAGGCGTCAGACCATCCTCATTCATTTTCATCATTATCACAGTGCCCACCATTTTGTAGATGGCCTTTGGAAAGAAACCAAATGGAAAATTCAACATGAAATTCAATCTAATTTTTTGATGTCATCAAATTCTGGATATATGTTCTAACAATAAAATGATTGCAAGTTTCTCTAAAGATTGTTTTTAGGGTTTTTTTTTCTGCTTTTCTTTCTTAGGATCCAAAGTCCAGAAACTTAAAACAGGGGAGAATATATTTTACTTTCTTTAGATGTAGATTTATTTTGATGGTTACATTTTGCATCCCAGAATGAATTTCTTTAGCTTCCTGTTTCACAATGTAAAATTCTTGTAACTAACTCTCTGGATCAATTGTTTAGTTGAAATATTTCACATAAATTCTGAATAATTAGTTTTGGAAGTCAGCACCCTTAAATAGGTTTTTGTATGTACATGTGGGCACAATCTGGTACTAACTGCTGTGGCAACTTGCCAGCAGATGACGAAGGTGGTAAACTTTATTCTTCCTCTTAAAAGTTGTGGCCATCTTAGAGCCCATCTGTGAGAGCTCACTTAAAATAGCGTGTTGTTATCCCTGTAAATTTCTGCAATCATCTGAAGTTAATCTACAGTCAGGCTTCAGCTACTTGAGCTACAGTTCAATAATTTCATGGGTGTCAAGTGACTGAGATGAGCTTTGTAAATCCTGTGCTGTTCTTGTGATTAATCCATTCATCAGGGAAGTAAAATCTCAGGATATTTAAAAGCTTATATGCACATATGTACTCTCTGTAATTCTCCAAGATTACATCTATTAACAAACATGTTAGTGTGCTTGTACCACTTGGGCACCAGTCAGTGCAGGATTAATGTGTGTAATGTGCATTTAATGTACCATACAGCCTCTGGCGAGCCTAAAATCTAAAGTCTGTGTGAACAGGGAATCAAATTTTATTAATGCTGTGATGTTTTTGAGTATCATATTGATCTCACCTCTATAATTTCCAGCATTTCCACTCTTGTAATTTTACCATCACCATCCAAGTCGTACATGTTGAAGGCCCAGTTCAGCTTTTGCTCAAAACTGCCTCGTGAGGTGATGGACAGGGCACAAATGAACTCTCTGAAGTCAATGGTCCCATCTCCGTTTTTATCAAAGGTTCGGAAGGCATGCTGGGCAAACTTAGAAGCATCTCCATATGGAAAGAACTGCAAAATAAAATAATATATAGACCTGTGTTAACATAAAGGAGAGAGCTGTATACGTGACTGCAAAACATCAAAGTGAGGCATTTATGAAGAGAGGCTGGAGAGCTTTGTGGGAAACTGAGGATCTGCAGTGTAAGGTTCCCTAACAGTTACACTGGAATGATTATTAAAAGCTTATATCTACAAAAATCACTCAGGTTTCCACAAGCTAAATACAAATATATATATAATGCTACTTTAAAGCTAAATTAACTAGATGAATCTTAAAATGAAGTTGAGTGTAAATGGCAGATTTGTGTAATATTCTCTGACTATGAAATAAAGAAGCCAGGGTGCATTCTAAGAGAATTTTAACCAGCCCTTGACATGTTGCAACCAAGTATATGTGTGGGATTGTTGTTATATAACTTCATATATTTAAAAAAAAAAATCCACATGTAACATAAAAAACCCACATGAACATATGTTCCTTTCTGCAAACCATCATTCAAGTACACCAGATGAAAACAGATTCAGTTAAACAATACAGTGAAATGCTTTTTATGTTTAATATCCTAATATACTTCAGTGAACACTGTAATTGACTGTAGCTTAACAGAGTATTTTAAATTACCATAACATGTAGGCTTTCATCTGATATATCTGCCCCTCAGGGACATTTGAGCAGGTAGTTGTTCTTTCTGTGAGCCCAACTCAAGAAAACACACCACTAAAGAAAGGGAGTTTTAAACCAGTGCTGAAGTCCTATTGCAGTGCACAGACCATACAAAAACAATGCTTGTTATTATATTCCCAGCACAATTTCATGGAGTTATTCCTGCTCCTAAAATATAAACATGCATTACTCCCCATATGAGAGCCATCTTATTTTCTTATTTTTAAAATTCCAGTTATTATTAAGTACTGCATTTATAATGTAAGCTTGAAGGAAAGTCTTTAGCAGCAGCTGAAGTGGAATTGCATTTTACAATTTTCCATTTCCCCATCCAGAGCTGTGTCTTGCCTTAAAAATGCAAAACTCAGAGCTCAGCCAGCTGCTTGCACTATGTGGCCATGTGGATCATGTCAGGAGCCACTGCTGTGTTGCCACATGGGTCCCAACCTGAAAGTTTCCTTTCAACTTTCTATTTTCCCGAAAGAGCATTTGGTATTGTCTCCTCCTGAAAAACTGCCTGTACTCAACCCAAGCCCTATTTCTGTTTTGATAATCAAACTGATGGAGGGGTCAAGGTGCTGCTGCAGATCCTTCTGTATTTTCTGCTTTCTGGCCATTAAAAATTATCAAGATTGGGCTCATCAACAGATACAAAGATATTTGGGTTCTCTGATACAACTCAGGGTTTCAGTGGCTGCAGTTACCAGACTTGGCTCAATTGCTCTTCTAGTGACAACCTCAACCTTGTGTCAAAGCAAGGAGAGCTCCCTCATGGGAAGGCTCCTTGGGCTCACAGCCTGGCATTCAGGGTCAAAACAAAATTTGCAAATGTTACCCAAAACCTGAATGTTATTTTCAGGTTCCTCACTGCTTCCTCTCATCCATGACCCAGCTCCCCTCCAATTCCTGTTCCAGCTCTGGATGTTAACATAGGTGACATTTAATTTTATGTGTATGTGTAGAATGTGCACTTCTTCTCCAGTCCCCTGCTGAGAGGTTAAGAAATGGCTCTCATGGCCTGTATTCCACCATGCATTCCATGTCCCCCATCTTTTTTTGAGTGTCTGCTGGCTGTTCAAAGCTGGAAGGACAAATCTTTTGCTTTTTAAATCTGTGCTGATGAGTATCCTGTGACATATACAGAACAAACACTTCAAAATTTTACAGTCTTTCTAAGTATTTTTGCTCTGAGCTGACTGCAGCTGAGGATGCTGCTAATCTCTGTTCCTGTGACTGTCACTCTACAGTCTCAGTAAAAGAAAGGTAAATACCTGGAGGGGACTGAGACTGTTCTTGTCACTGCCCAGAAAACCAAAATACAGAAATGATGCAAACATACTTGTGAGACCAACGAACGAAAGTACAATGAAAAAGCATGCCTACACAAAAGGTGAAGAACTGTCAGACACCGAAAACCATGTAAGATCCAAGAACAAAGAGGGGAATTAGGTTGGGTCAGTGGCTGGAGATCCTGAAAACCATTTTTAAGTTGTTCTGGAACATATTTTTCAGTCTCCACTGGAGAAGCATCAGGAAGCTGTGCCTACCTCTTTGCTGGTCAAACCATTAGCCTCATGTAGCAGTTAGAAAAATATCCTTCTAATTTTTTATCACAGACAAGACCATGCTTTTTTTCTTTTTTGAGGTGAAGAAGACAGTGGCGTTGCTCAGCTAAGTCTTGGCCTTTACAGCATCATATGGAACTGTTACTTTTTTAAAATTTGTTTTCCTATTTATCTTCCTGTAGGGAGTAAATGCAGTAAAATGTCCTTTAGGGACTTAAGGCACTTCTCTCCAGTCTGTACCTGCTGGTTTGTATTATTTTTAGCTCAACCCAAAAACATTGTCAAAACTTGTTTAAAAACCTACTTGAAGATTTCCATTGGTCTGTTTTGAAACTATTCATAAATAAGACATGAAGTAAAGAAAACTAAAACAATTACAGAGCAAAAGATGCCAGCTCTGGTAAAACATTTTTTTTTTTTTACTATTAAAATACAGTGGGGCCTTTAGCAAAGTACAAAGGCACAGGCTTTAACTACTCTCAGAGCAGCCTAAGCCAAGTGGCAATGGGAGACAAGGATCTCTGAAAGACAAACACCAATTTTTTGTCAGAGGGAATATGAGGAGGGTGGTTTAGTCTGCCTCTCACATGAGCTCAGTGAATACTTCAGAACAAAAGTAAAGAAACACAACTGGGATTTTCAGATACAGCTTCAGCTTTCAGTGTTCCATGCAAAGCCTTGACCAGGCGATCAATCTACACATGAAGGCAATGAGTTCCCTTCTACTGCAACTTGCCACTGAAAAGGGCACTCCATGCACCAGCATTGTCTCCTGATTTACCCTTTTCGTCCAAAAATAAGACAAACTCTACCACCCAGCTCCACGGTGACCCAACACTGTTCAATCCTTTGTTTCTACTTCTCTAGACTCGTCTAGCCAAACGCCTCCCTCCTCTAGAGAACGATGTCCCTGCCCATCCCAGGAGGTTGGAACTAGATGATCTTTCAACCCAAACCATTCCAGGATTCATCTCTTGCTTCATCTGTGTACTTTTTAACCAGTTAGATCAACATGCTGGGGTGTGAACAAAGTGTTATCTCTAGAGTCAACTGCCAATTAAGAAAAGTAAAAGGAAAATTAAAAAATTTCCCTTAATCTGCTTGGAATTTTGTATGAGGATTTTCTTGCAGATTCTTAGCTCCCACTGTGTTTCTAGACACCTTTCAGTGTGTAGGGACATTCAATCAGTCCTGGAATCAGAATATCTAGTGAATAACACCTACAAATTGTACATAACTCTTGGGGAAACTGATCAAATACCAGGAAATATTTATCTGCTTGGCTGCAGCTGCTTTAGCCTCTTTGAAGTGATGCTGTTCACAGGTAACCCAGTGATCAATTATTCAGATCATCTTTGTGAGGGAATTATTGCAAAAGCATGAAGCATATGCTAAAGCATATGACTAAAATTTTAGCATGTGGCTAAACCAAAATTTTAGCATGGCTAAAGAAAAAAAAAAAAAAACAACAAACCCAAAATCTACTTCTCCAAATTTCCCAGTTACAGGGAGGGGTTAGGAAAAAAAAGGTCTCTCCATCCTAGAGTAGAGTGAATATGTAGACTGGCCTGAGTAGTGCTTTGTTTTCCCCATGATGTTTTATCATGGGATATTGGGATGCATTTCTTTTAAAAGGGAAATTCTGCTATAATACAGAGAAAACTAGAATTACAGTAGTGTACAGAAAGCAGAGCACTCTGCCTACACATGCGCTGGTGACAGCTCTGTCACTGATGTAAGGTCACAGCTTCCAGAGCTGGTGGGAGCTGGAGCACAGAACAGGAGGTGGGAAAGCAGGACATGGCACAGAGCTGCTGTATCCCAGGCTTGGAGAGGATGGAAGAAGCAGCTGCTGATTCCCCTGTCAGAGGAGATGGGGCTCATCATGGGGCAGATCTCAGCTCTCTGCTGAGAGCTGAAGTACAGAAGGGGAATGAGGGGGCACAGCCAGTGCCAGGAGCAGAACAAGCATTGTCAAGGGCCAGTATATAAAAACAAGTGAAGCTGTTGGCTCTCATGGGAAAAACCTTAAATATTGGATGCTGTAGGAAGGAGAAACCTACCCTTCTTATCTACTTTATTAGTGTTTTATTTTGTAAGTCTGCTAGGCATCCATGTTAACTTTGTAAGTGAAGAACATGAGCACTTTGAGAATCAGAAAGTTCGACTGCTTTTGGAAGCTCAGACAGGTGTTTTTTAATAGCAAACCTCTTAAAGTTGAACCCAGATGCTGATAGCTGCTGGTCTAGCCTGGTCTGACAGATCCTCAGAACAGAGGTCATTGGGGAGGATGCCTGTCATGATGGGGAGCAGGTTTCTCCTCAGTAATTTTCCAAGAAGATGAAGTTCTGGATTCCTGCCAGAGCACAACACGGGAGTTGATAAGAAAAAAAGATTACGCTTTAGCTGTCTCCTTTAGGAAAAAAAAAATTGAAATTTACTACAATGCACTGTACTTTTGCTCTTCTGTTAAGACACCAGAAGGGGAAGAGGTATCCAGGCTGTGACTGCCAGGACCTGTTGGGAAGGCTGTGCCACGCTGGTATCAGGGTGACCTGCAGGACTGCAGCCTGTCCCTGCCATCACCCATCACCTCTTTGTAAAATGAAAACTGATGTAACAAGGGCAGAACTAGGCCAGCACAAAAAGACACAGCCACACATCTGTCCTTGTTCTGGAAGAGATCTGACTGCTGCACCCTCCAGCACATCTGTAGTGTAAAGCAGAAATGTCCCAGACATCTGGCTTCAGCCTGCCAGAGGATCCCAAAGAGAAGGGAC